AGGGCTGTCCTCTTTCACCTTTCCTCTTTAACTTCGTCATTGATACGATCATGGAAGACTCACTACCAGACTCTAATGCCTGTGGGGTCGAAGTGCTCTCTGGGCCTCCGCTCACAGACATCGAGTACGCAGACGACATAGCTCTTCTAGGATCTGACCCCGTGGCATTGCAAACAATACTAAATAATCTAAATAATTCTGCCTCGCGGTTTGGTATGCGCTTCACACCTGCAAAGTGTAAAGTGCTACTGCAAGACTGGGTGGGCTCGAACCCTAGCCTCATGCTTGCGGATGAACCGATTGAGGTAGTAGACAAATTTGTTTACCTGGGCAGCTGTATCAGTCCCGGTGGTCTCGCGAAAGATGATATTTCCGTCCGGATTGGGAAGGCTAGAGCAGCTTTTGCGAACCTACGTCACCTGTGGCGTAGGCGTGACATCAGTTTCTTTGTCAAGGGTCGGGTTTACAATGCTGCGGTGCGCTCCATATTACTATATGGATCAGAAGCCTGGCCGCTGCGCGCCGAGGACGTCAAAAGACTTTCAGTGTTTGACCATCGATGTCTTTGTAGCATTGCCCGAATCTGGTGGGAACACCGGATCAGCAATTCTGAAGTACGTCGAATGGTATTCGGGGGAAATAACTCACCCTCGATAGATGAATTGATCACACTGCACAGGTTGCGTTGGCTTGGCCACGTGCTGCGTATTCCAGTCGACCGACTTCCTCGAAGGGCTCTTTTCGCCCAACCATGTGAAGGGTGGAAGAGAGCCAGAGGCGGTCAAACAATGACTTGGCAGCGAAGTATGAAGTCCATTACCAGCAAACTCAGCTGCGCTGGTCACTGCCGCCTTCCTGGATGGGGACCCCGAGACGGACCACATCAATGGCTAGAGATATTAGCAGACATGGCCCAGTCGCGAGATGGCTCAAGTGGTTAGAGCGCGAATTTACTGACCGGAAGGTCCGTGGTTCGAACCCGACCTCCGCCACTCGACTTCCCCTGTCTAGGCTTGGGCAACCTGACGGTATCCCAGCCCTCGTGCTTCCTTCGGGTGGCATGGCAGCTAGGCACCGAAAGGGCGCCACAGCTGAACGATTTATTTATTTATTATAGTCGCGCCCTCAATGGCGCTCGTGCATCCAAGCTATTGCCTTCAATGCATAGCTCCTTTTCCACCCCCCGCTTGACAACCCACTGACAGTGCTGGACTTATGCACCAATTTACCAGCTCGCGCGTGCAATGCGCAGCTACCTACCCCCCAATCATCGGTGAACGAAACTGTGGCAGCTACAACCAGTGTACGACCAGTGCGCGGTTCTTACAGCTGACAATGATGATGATGAGGAGGAGGAGGAGCTTGATGGGATTTATTCAACCACATTGATAGTCTAGTTATTTGAGTGGGAAAAACCTCTAGGAAGAAGATAGTACATCAGATGGATATAGGCTATATTGCGGACGAACCAATGGAAGAAAGAGCACTGCGGCTCAGTTGGCGACAACAGAGAGAAAATGAAATCCCAGCGAAATACTACAAAAGGTTAGGACCTGACCGTCCTAACAAAAGTACAAGGTGCTACTGCAAGACTGGGTGCGCTCGAACCCTAACCTAATCCGCTTGCGGACAAACCGATTGAGTTAATAAACAAGTTTGTCTACCTGGGCAGCTGCATCAATCCCGGTGGTTTGACGAAAGGTGATATTTCTATCCGAACTGGGAAGGCTAGAACAGCTTCTGTGAACCTGCGTCACCTGTGGCGTAGGCCTGGCATCAGCTTATTCACCAAGGGTCGACTTTACAATGCCTCGGTGCACTCCACCTTACTGCACGGATCGGAAACCTTGCTGCTGTGCTCTGAGGACGTCAAAATACTTTTAGTGTTTGTGCATCGTTTGCTAACTTGAGACACCTTTGGCGTCAGAATGGTTTATCCCTGAATCTGAAGGGACGTGTGTATCAAGCTACAGTACGGGCTGTTTTGTTGTGGGGCTGTGAGACTTGGTCTATTCGAGCAGCGGACCTGAGACGTCTTCAGGTGTTCGACAATCGTTGTCTCAGAACCATAGCTCGTGTGGGTTGGTGTCAGCGAATCCGTAACGAGGCAGTTAGAAAGCATGTTTTCGGTTGTGTAACGGGTACTTCCATTGAAGAATGTGCCCAGCACCAGAAGCTGCGTTGGTTGGGACATGTGTTACGTATGCCGAACCATCGTTTGCCGAAGAGAGTGCTGTTTTCTTTGCCCAGCTCAGAGTGGCGTAAACAGAGAGGGGCCCAACCCATGACCTGGCAGAGGAGTATGAAGGAGATCACGAAACGCGTGGGTGCTGTCGGTGCTACTCGCCTGCCATGATGGGGACCGCGTGATCCTCACTGTGCCTGGTTGGAGACACTACAAGATATGGCTGCCAACCGATGTCAGTGGCGTTCTTGTTGTCAGTTTCTGTCCAGACTGCCTGAATGAATGTCTGGAGGTGTAGGCACCTCGGAATGATTGTGTTAAGCTAGCACTAAGTCCCCCCCCATCCACCTTTATTCTTTTCTTTACAATAAGGCTTTCAAATAAGTCATGGTTGTACAGCAGTGAAGCATTGGTGTTGAGCACTGATGTCATGCTGTCGTTGATGGTTGATGATGATGATCCATCGTTGTCTTCGGAGGATTGTCGGAACACCGGATCAGCAATACTGAAGTACGTCTAATGTTACTCGGAAGAAATAACTCACCCTCGTTAGATGAACTGATCACATTGCATTGGCCGCGCTTACTTGGCCACCTGCTTCTTATGCCAGTCGACTGATTTTCTCGGACGATTCTTTTCGCACGACCACGTGAAGGGTGGAAGAGAGCCAGAGGCGGTCAAACAATGACTTGGCAGTGAAGTATAAAAGCCGTTACCAGCCAACTCAGCTGCGGTGGTCACTGCCGTCTTTCTTGATGAGGACCCCTAAACGGAACACATTAATAGTCAGAGACATTTCAGACGTGGCTCCGTCCGGCCCTCAATGGTGCTCGTGCATCCAAGCTATTGCATTCAATGTATAGCTCCCTTCCCAATGCTTCCACCACTCCATTAACAGTACTGTATTCACGCAACAATTTATCAGCTCCCGTCCCCAATGCGCAGCTACCCACCCTACCTCCCTAAATAATCAGTGAACGAAACCGTGGCAGCTATAGTCACTGTACAATTAATACGCGGTTCCCACAGTTGATAATAATGATGCTTCCACTACACGGTCTGGTATGCGCTTTACGCCTGGACAGTACAACCTGCTTCTGAATAACCACATAGAATCTAACCCAAACTTCATGCTTGCAGATTAACCGATCGAGGTGGTGGATAATTTCGTCTATCTAAGTGGCTGAAGGAGCGCCGGCGGGCCGGAAAATTGTGGAAGGTCGGGTCCAAGGTGTCAACGCCCGACATTTGTGGCGCTGAAGTGATGTCACAGATAGAGTACACAACTCCGCGGTTTTATATGTCCCTTTTGGTGAGTACACGTGGCCGGTGCATGCAGGACATGTTCGGGGACTATGTTTTTGGCCATCAGTGTGTGTCCGCACTGTGCGTGTCTGATGAGAACACCGAATCGGTAATGTTGAGGTTTATCAGATGGTTTTTGCAGAATATAGCTCTCCTTCGATAGAGCAGCTGCCAAACTCCATAGGTTATACTAGTTCGGCCACGTGCTTCGTATACCGGAGAATGGCTTGCATCCAATATTTTGCTCAGCCACTTGTCGGACTGAGACGACCCGGGAGTGGTTAGTCCATGACTTAGCAATGAAGCATGATGACCTTTATCATTAAGTCCAGTCCCATTGATAACTGCTGTCTACCCGGAACGAGACAGATACAGCTGTGCTGCAGCCAATGACGACCCTGAATCGAATCTATCAGATTATCTGTGTACCCCCCACTCCCTGTTATACTGGACAAACAACCACCTACTGTTGATTAACACAGTGGGCCACGGCCTTCAACCGGAAGGTCCGTGGTTCGAACTTGGCCTCTGTCCCTCGACTTCCCCTGTCTTGACTTGGACAGCCTGGCAGTATCTTAGCCCTCGTGCCGTATTCTGGTGGCATGGAAGTTAGATACCGAAAGGGTGCTCAGCTGAACGTTGACTTGGACAGCCTGGCAGTATCTTAGCCCTCGTGCCGTATTCTGGTGGCATGGAAGTTAGATACCGAAAGGGTGCTACAGCTGAACGATTTTTTTTCGTGGCCTTCAACGCGTAGTCCTCATTATCTTATCCTCGTCAACCTCGATGAACGACGCTGTAGCAGCCGTACAGAGGAAATGAGCTGATTTTTATTTAAGTCAAGATGAACCATACGTCTGAATTACTCCGCTTAAATTCGCTTCGGAATGCGAAAATAAGGCGCATCTGTCTAAGAAAAACAGCATACGGACACCGGGCTCGCGCAGCGGTGCTTTATTCAGGAAACGTCTCAAATTGAACTGGTAATCCTTATCGAAACGTTGCTACAGTGGCCAACGCCTCTGCGCAGATTGCTTTTAAATAAAAACTGGCGAACGCTGGGGCAGGTATACAGCCCCGCTTCACTTTGGTATCGATTACGAAATCGTTGGAAATCGTTGTGTGAAAGGCCTTGATGAGGTTGGTAAAGTTGTCTCGGCACGCGAGCTTTCTTCAGACCATTCACAGTGCCTCTCCTCACCTAATAGTAGTCTGGTAGAATTCGCAAACAGTCCGTAGAGAAGTTGGCTTCGTTGAAGACATTCCTCTTGGATCTATCTTGTGGAAAGAATTAGGTCACTCAACCGCTTCGAAATCCACCCCGCCCTTCAGGCAACTTTCTACCAGTCGATTGAGCAGGATATAAGTCATAATATTGTGCGTGGTTGGCTGATTTTGCGGTAGTAGTCCATCTGTGGACTTTTTCTCTCTTTAAACAGAGAAGGCATCTTTACACCCATGAAATCCGGCTTAACTTCTTTCAGCTTCTAGATTCTACCTAGCAAGTAGAGAATTTCGTTCTGCGGCGCCAATCCTTCTAGAAAGAGTTGTCTCGCGGACAAGCGTCCGATTCTGATGCTCTCACATTTCGCAGTTGGTTTGAAGCGGTCAACGGTTTATAGATTTAGGTAAGCAGTTAAGTATTTCACTGAATAACATTTGCTACAAGAATTAACACATGAGGGGACTCGTCTGGGGTGTCATCACTCACCTAAATTCAATTGTTGTTTCTATTTTTTTCCAGTACGCGATACGGAATAGAGCTTTCATCCTTGCTTCATGCCTTGTACGATGAAACGACTGTGGATTCCACCGGTAGACTCCCATCCCATGCCACTCACGTGTTTCCGGGATAGCCTACCAAGCAATGTAGATCTTCCTTTAACAGGCAACCGGACCAGTCAAAATATTTTAAAAACACCAAACCCAACAAGAGAGAAAATCTACAAGATTCAAGTGAGTGCCAATTTTTAGATATTATTTCCATTAAAGTAGTAAGTTCATCAGTTTAGCTAACGTCTTGGCATTTAGAACCACAAAGGAACTTGATAACTACTATAAATCTCAACTCCTTTGGCTATGCACGATCCCACTTCGCAACTAACACATTGGCAGTTAACTATATGCTAGTTGCTTGTACCCAACCTCAGAGGAAGAACTCGAAATACTGCCGTGGTTCGGACAGATGTTCAACCGGTTATTGAGGACTGAACGCCAACGGGCGAGTACCATGTCACGATGTTTAAAGGATCATTTGCGAAGTCCGGCTTCATAACGATAAAGGGGATATAGGTAAGGAAAATGGACATAGGCTAAATAAAATCCTCCCACAAGGCTGCGTCAGTGGGGACCATTTGGTTCACGTCCTGAGGGAAAATCGCACTGACAACACCCAGACTTTTAGTAATCCCTTTCATACTCTTCAGCTTGGCCAAAGTTTGATCACCTCACTCCTTCTGTCACGCTGAATTGGGCACGGAAAACAGAGCTCTCTTCGGCAATCGATGTTTCGGCATGCCCAATGCGTGACCTAACAAGAGCAGCTTATAGCATTCGGTAAATTATTCGATTGATGTCTCCGTTGCACAACCTAACACTCGCCTTCTGAGTTCTCGTTACGGACTCGCCAACACCCCCCCACGCGAGCTGTGGTCCTGAAACAACGATTGTCGAACACCTGAATAAGTCTCAGTTCCGCTGCTCGAACACCATACAACAAGACAGTCCGCACTGCAGTCTGATACACCCGTCCCTTGAGATTCGAGGATATGCCGCTTTGACGCCATAAGTGTCTCAAGTTGGCAAGTGCAACCCATGCCTTGCAGGCTCGTACATTTTCACTGTCACAATACAATCAGAACGTGAAACGCTCCACAACTTCCATTGTCTCTCCCTGGATTGTAAGTGATGTGTTTAGTGGCCGCGTCTCCACGGGCATAACCTTAAACTTTGTGGGTGCAAAGTGCATGCCATTTGCCCGGGTATTTGAATGAGTCCGGGCGAAAAGGTGGAAACCTTAGGGAAAACGAAAACTGTCGTTTCCTGAGTAAAACAGGATACCTAATCCCGATGTTCCGCACCTTGTACCCTTCAAATGTGGTGAGCTTACGGCCAGCAGTTTGAAAATCTCATTACAGATTATTCGAAGCGAAAACAGGGTGACAGCAGCCACCGTTTTAGGAAACGTCACACGACCTTAGCATCAGCCCTTTAGCTGTAGCGCCCAGTGTGTTGTATATTTATATCCTGTGCTGATCGGTCGAATAGCGGAAGGGGTAAATTTATGAAAACCGAGCTGGATTGTCATAGCCCAGGGTGATCAAACCCCTAGTTTGAACAGCACCGGTCCTTCACACGACCAACAGTGGTCGGTTTTCTACCTAGCAATCAAATATATCTCTTATGTGACCAATTCTGTGAACGCGGTCGATGCTGCTGTTCTAAGTGCAGATCCAACAAAAGATTAAACCACCACGAAACCATTTTGGCACCTACTACACGCCTGCAAACTGTAAAGTGTTACTGCAAGTTTCAAGATCGAACCCATATATTAAACTCCCCGACCAACGTGGTAGATAACTGCGTATGTGCATGACTCCAGGAGAATAGTTGGAAACTGCAGTCGTTGCTCGATCAGGAAAGCCTAACTAAACCAAACTACTTGTGTAAGGAAAACTCGCGGAAGACCAGCTAATTATACTCTATGTGTTATCAGTATTGAATAATAATAATCGTTCGGTCGTGATACTCTTTTGGCACCGAACAAAGTAACATGTCTGCAAAACGTTTGATTGCATGCATTATCAGACTCAGTTGATTGCTAAAGTTTCCAAATTTACAACCTTTTGGAATTCGCTTCTCAGAAGCTCCGATAAACGGCTCAAAAGTCGAGGCGCTGTAGTGGGAGAAAAAACAGTCTGAACGTTTAGATGGCAGAGTACGGTCTTAGCCAACTTCAACTGACAAGGGCGATGTGAACCATTGATAGCCAGAGTAATTTGCAGTCAGTCAACGTATTGGGATGGCAGTGTGAAGATCTGACAGCATGTGTTCCAACCAAAGGTTGGAATGTGGTTTCTTATGATTGCAGCTGAATACTCAGTCTCACATACGAACGATGGATAGATGGATGCAAATAGCCTATACAGGCACTGGGTGAGGAGTCCACAACCCTCCTTGAGCAGAACAGGTAGGTCATCAGGATCAGGATTACGGTGATTTTAGGAATAGAGATGTGCATTCGGACACTTCTAAGGCTAAAGGGCTCTGTATTAACAGACCACTTTTCCGTTAAGGGCCCGCAGTCGGAATGGAGATAGCAGGTGACCTACTCAATTTCCGTCCGAAGTATTATGCCAAAAAATTCAAACGTTCTCCTTCACTGAATATCAGACAGTAATTCTGGTCCCTGATGGTTTTGCTGACAGGGTCAGGCTTCTGAGGACCAGTCGAGCCAATCAAGTGGAAAAACCTGTGAACGTTTCCAACATCTTTCGCATCTTCCAATTTTTTCGGTCCTTCGAATCCATCAAGCTCTCCAGTCTGCAATAACACTCAGTTTCACCGGACGTCGGATGATGCGTCGAGTTGAATTATGTTTGTGGTCAGGAGGAGTCTGTAGCCGTGCCTTCAACAAGGCCACGGTCCCATCAGAGATCAAGTGATTGGATGAGGCTGGCTAGGCTGCACGACAGATTGAAGTTCACACTTGAATGGCGCTTAGCGTATCTGTTTGCAGCTACCTTTAACATCCAATATTGGACCAGCTGGCGACAGCGGAAGAGCCGGTTCTGATAGGTGTGTTTGATTTCTGGGTCCACGAACTTTTCAATGGCTAGGCGAGGTGTGAGCATTTCGCACAAACCTGAAAAGCACAATCAAAGCAGCAGCAAACAATGCATAGTCGGAGTTTAGAGTAGGGTAGAAGAGGGATTACGTGAAAGCATAAGAGGAGAGGCCTCAGCGGTAATAGTTTCTTGCTCACCTGCCGTGTTGTATCTAACAAATGAGACGACGCAGGTGATGACACCACCTGACGGCCGATGTGACATGATAATGTTCTTGGTAGTCGCGTTCGTGGTTTCACAGCGATTGGGATACTGTCAGGGCGCTCGAACCTGGACACGAAGACAAATAGGATCATCAATAAAAGATGTGGACTCAGAAGCCTGATTGCATGGCAGCAGATGGGTGCAGTATTACACTATTTTAAGGAACAATCTTCTGAGCATGTTTCCAGCCCCCAACCTAAGAATCGAGAGCCTGTTTGTCAGGCGTCTACCCAGTGCCCAACGTGGTGTAAGAAACTCTGTGGGTGTCAAAGTGAACCCCCCAGTATCACTCAGTGGGTCACCGCGATAAGGTCCAGTCTCTTTTTAGCGGAGTCAACACTAGAGGGAAGAACACAACTCGGGTTTCTCTCTTAGTTCTGACAGGCGTGTCAATTGACTGGTGCAGTGTGAACAGTTACGAACTTTCGGGGAACCAGTCAAATTATTCACATTTCTCAAGCGGTAGCACTTTCGCCCCATACAGACGTCATAATCCAGGTGCACCCAAAGTGCGCTGATAACACGCCCGCCTCGCATGTTAGATGTTCGAAGTTCAAACCACTACAAGGCCGATGATATGCACTTTTACAAAGTCCTAATAAAAACGAAACTAGATCCCAACGCACCCATTTGATGTAGAGTTGCCGAAGTAGTTGCGCCAGGGCATTGTTCAAACAAGAGTAATGTTAATATGAATAGTTTCAAAACACTTCTTACGATCTACTTGCAATCAAATGCCACTGAGTTTTTGACGGCGTGTTTATTACTGAGGGTAAAAAATACCAACAGATCTCAGGTTTGCTTATGAATCAACTCCAAAGGAGACAAAGTCGTAATCAGTGTTTTGAGGAAATAGCTGCAACATCGATTATATTAAAACGAAGTCTACTGTTTCCGTAGTCAGTAATCGGTGCCCCTCATCATGGCTCATTGCAGCTACCTATGCCCATCAATCTCTGGCCTGATCTATATAGATTGCAATCCAGTCGTGTTTCCAAAATCGGACACCGTGGTCGTACTGGAGTCCAAGCTGATGGACAACCGAGTCTTCAGTTTTCTCTCGGCGACAACGCCAACTCCGACCTAGATGTGGGCTTGGATTGAAGACTTTTCTCGCAGATTCGTCGCTCGGTTTGCGGAATACGGCTCCGAACGATTGTAGTTAATGTTCCCGGGCAGGCACAGCCATTTTTGATAGAAGTTTACAATGTTGCTTGCTAACCCATTTCGCCTTGGATAATACCACACCGCAGTTGTCAGTTCGCCCATGCTAAAGCAGTTCAGATTCAATAGGGGCTTTACAGAATGGTTTTTGTAACTAATATCCGATCTACACCGCTGACCATAATTTATTTGGAGCAGTGATATTCTGGCGCATTCGACACACGTTTTCATTTTATTCTTCGCTTGACCTTCGAGGAAAACTTGATTATCCAGACATTTGAAAATGACACTACTTTATCTTTGGTTTTTCGTAAGTTGGGCGAAAATTGGTAGTTTTTCGTACGTGTGGATTAGATTTTCTTAAATACGTCGATTTTGAGGTCTCTCCAGCATGGATTGTCGCCTAGAAAAATGACGTTATCTGCATATTCAAGTTCGGTCACCTAAGAACTCGTTGTCTGTTGCCCCTGTAGCCCTCGAAAATACTGTCCGGCACCCAACTGGCTGCGTGGTTAAATTGATCTCAGGACGCGGAGTATCGTGGGCTTACTTTTATATGGAGTTTGTGCTCCGCAGAGCTTGTGCTATGTACTCGGACTCAAATTTCTGTGGAAATAAGTTCGACATGCTTGGGTTGAGCATCATCAATTACCAGCGCGTTCTATGGGGTATTGCCTTAAATTGAGCCGACGGCAGCGCGTAGGCCTGTGCAAATAATAGCCGTAAGTTGTTGGAGCTCAAAGCGATGCTCCAGTTTTTGGTGCAGGGTAAAAATCTGCTCAGTAAGGCCTTTCCCTGTACGGGTACCTTTCATATTACTTCCCGTAAATGTCGTACCCCTCAGTGGAAATGTGACTTAACACTATTGTAAATGATTTGGTCCCTTTATCGACGAGATCAATGTCCCATAGGTTGTTCTAGAACCCCTAGTCTCTTTTCTTCGCGAGTGACAGTAGAATTTATGTAACTCAAATCGGAGGACCTGGTTCTGTCTTCCAAGTGGAACAAAAAAGTGATCGCCTTGCGTGGTACAAAGGTGCACATCTTGCATATCAGATGGCAGGTCATACAGTTCCCAGCTTACAGGTAACCAGTTATCTGTGCTTCTGGTGAGGTTTTTTCAAGGGTCGTGGTACAATCGGCTTAAATTTACCACCAACCCGGTGATCCTGCAATCGAAATCCGTGGTGAGTTCTGCTGCATCACAAAAGTTGGACTCATAGATTTGATGTTTGAAAGTCGGTCAAAAGTCTCCCACATTGATGGTTGTTTCCATTTCTATTTCATTTCTGTTCATTATTCTTTTCCATCACTGTGTGGGATATGTTGATTCCTTTCGTAGGCTGTGCTTTTCTGACGAGTTTGCTAACCAGGCCTCCTACAGATACAGACTTGTGTAGCGTGTAACCGTTATGCAGTCTTTCTTTGGGGTGGTTCAAAGTTAGACTGATGATGCCTGTTGAGTGGACGCTTTCAGTTTGAGCCGCTGTTCCTCCACCAAACCGGAGGGTGATTTTATTGACTGAATATGGTGAGTTATGAGACCAGGTTCGATCATATTTGCTCGAGCTACCGTGTAAACCGACCCTCCACTGTGACCACCTTCAGCTCTTCAGCAAGCCAAGCAGCTCATGACAGCGGCATCGAGGGAAGAGGTAGTCAGTCTAGTTTTGTTGCTCATCCATAATTTGAGTGTTAAATAAGATGTCTTATTAGATGTTGGGGGTGCGTGGCGGAAATACACATCCGGCTGGGCTTCAAGGTCTAGTCAAGTCTAGACTAGGTGGAATTTTCCAATAATATTGCAGGTGGAATCGTCCGCTGGGTCCGTGCGACTGTTTGAATCATTGGCTATCACCAGAGTATCACGGCTCACAGTGCGACTGATGGCAGCTTGTGGTTTTTCCGGAAAGCCGTCTTTGTTGCTAAAATCGACGGATATTGTTGGTACGTATCCGTAGATACTGAGATCAGGGTACTGTTAGCATTTCCATTCATGTCTCACTCGATCCTATGTTGACTAAGGTCATCCTGCAGTCCACTGTAATGGAATCAGTAGGAGGGGGTGATGAGAATGATGATGAATAAGTTCGGATTGCCCAACAGAGGTTACATAGAGACAAGTTTCTTGAGCGTGTTTCAGGGAAGTGCGAGTGGTAACTTCTTGCTTCCCAGGATACTCATCACTAACCATACATACTGAAGCATCTAAAGGTATGTAGCCAAAGCCAGTAAGTTTGGAACACCAGCACATCTTCGGAACTCGTCATAAAAATTCAGGTAATGGGCTAGTGTCTGAAGATCAGTGGGTCACCGCAAGGAGGAGAAAACTCTCCACTGCTTTGCTGGCTACGACTTAATGGAACTTGATTAACAGATCGTTGACTGATTCACGGGACTGTTCGCCTTCAAGGTGTATTAAACGTCAGCTAACCGCCTACGGCATGTACATTAGGGCCGTCGCGCTAAATCGTATGGAAGGCAGACCTTGAACCTTTGGGAAACGAAAGCGGGGCTCAGGACTTTTAATAAGAACCAAAGCATGAATAATACATCATCGGTACCTGTTTCATTGGTTTTGACTCTCAACATTCCTATCTCTTGTACACTGAGATTTCGCTTCTCAAGCTTGAGGAGACACTAGGCCAAGACGACCTCCATCCTGTCTTGGATTAAAGCCCATCGACTGACTGAATGACTCCACCATTTGCCTTCACCTCATATGGTAATGAACATTTTCGTTTTTCCTCAGTATTTGTTGTGCTGAGATGATCGATCGAACCAGTAAGTATCCTGGTTTTTTGTTATAAATTTACTCAATTTGAACAGTACTGGTATCCAGTTAGCACGGTTTCTGGGCTTACCGACCCACCTTACAGAAGGCTTTCGTTATGTGCATTCGTGTGACGTTTAGTTTGTTTATATCAACTTCCTTGTTTGGTATCAAAAATGTTTGTTCCTTTGTCTTGTTGATACTACTGCGGAATACAGATTGCTTGTTTGTTGAACTTAGCAAACCAGCCAAAAATCAACAGGACTTATTGTGTTAGTAGAATGGGTTTTTGTGGTTTCGAGTAGGTTGCAGAAAATCTGCTTTCTAAACCTTTTCGTCGTTGGCCAGTCCCGTCTCAGGACAAAAACCGTTGAGCATAACCTCCGACCATGCTGGACTGCAATTGATTCTCTTAACTGCTTGGCGGCACATAATCTAAACTCTCTAATTGGGTTCCATTTCTTGTCCCTCTTCTCTTCCCTAGACGTGCGAAAAACTATCGGCACCGTACCAAAAGTTACCCACTTGCACCGCTGATTTTCATCTCTACAGTTGGACTCTTCCATCTGTATCCACCCTGGAATCGCTCGCCGAGATTGGTGCGGGATGTTTCGGCAACACGAAGCAAATGATCGGATTGATATTTCCAAGGCCAATAGCAGAGGTGACGAACTTGTTTTTCTTCTCTGTTTTTTGTCTTACCTTTTATTTAGTCCATTGGTAATTAGGAGTTAGCTATGGGTGAACTATGAGCTCTGTGTATACTCATAGTGCTGAAAATCTGTCAGAAAGATACCGAACTTTGCTGTGGTGTGACGGTTTGTGTGCCTTCCTTACCCATTAGGTTGTACTGGGATTTTCTCACAGTCTATCATACCAAGTTCGTGAGTGGTCAGGGGTTTGAGCAACACAATCTTCTGTTCCCCCAGGTTCGAGGTTGGAATATGTGTGACGACCTGTTTTTTAAGAAATGTAGTGCGCTGGCTGGCATGTCCAGCCGAATGTCGCTGCCTTAAGGTCAGGTTTTTGAACCGAAAGCTTTGGTTAAGGACGTTGGTCTTTCTCCTGTTTGACGCCATGGCAATATCCAAGCCCCTGTACAATAATGAGTGGCTGTTGATCAGAATGTAGTTGATCTGTTCACCGGGCTCAACATTTTACTTACAGACCGTTCGAGTGGACATCTACAAGGCGTGGTTTGGTGCTGTGTTTAGTATAACGCTGTCTGAAATCGAGGAATTACAAACGACTAGGGTAATCAGGTTGCAGGAGCCTTACACCAATCGCGGCAACAGACCCCGCATCCTGAAATTCAGCTTGGTGAATACCAAAACGATAACCATGCACTTCGACCTTAGTGCAAACATCAAACCCCCTCACAGCTGTGGCTTCGCCCGGCTGAAAACATTCCGATCCGCACTGTATCTGGCGTCATTATTATTCAAAGCCCTACCTAGATCATCTGGACCTACCTGAACGAGCAACCAGGAAATCCACCAGCTCTCAGTAATCGGTCAAATATCGGTCCAGGAAGATCCGGTCATTCTAACCAGTCCTACCACCCGGGCCATCCAAACCGAGAGAGATTGTTTGCCAGCAGACATTTTGTATGGCTGTTATGATTGACTGTAAATCCTGGCGCCAGAACCTTGGTGACGGGCGAAAGCTCATCCAACGAGAACACAATAGCTTTACTGCAAGCAAGCGAGTGCGAAATTGCGGGAAGCATCGTGATATTTTAAACGCGAATCGAGAGTGTCCGGTCAGAGTTGAGTGACTGGTTGGCATCGATACTAGGACGTTCCAGTACTCGGTCGCCGCTGATTGGCTGCTTGGGCGTCCAATGGGTAGCTGTTTTTTTTTACCGAGAGAATTGGCTTTATGAAACGCGCCGCTGATTGGCTGCTTGGGCGTCCAATGGGTAGCTGTTTTTTTTTACCGAGAGAATTGGCGGCCTTTATGAAACGATCTGGCGGCTCCCAGTAAGTCGCCGCTCAGTATTTGCACAATGGAATGGAATTTTCAAAGGCTATGACGTGTCCCTGACGAACTAAAGTAAACAGGAAATTGAATTGAGAGTACCGGTCTGAACTTTTGAGCCCTATTTAGGCATCCCGCGGTCTCAACGATGCTGGCGAATCGCTCCAACAGACTTTTCCACTGGCTATGACGTGTCCCTGACGAACTAAAGTAAACAGGAAATTGAATTGAGAGTACCGGTCTGAACTTTTGAGCCCTATTTAGGCATCCCGCGGTCTCAACGATGCTGGCGAATCGCTCCAACAGACTTTTCCACTAGAGGATTGATTGCTCCAGTGGACAATGAAATTTGGTGAGCTGACAAAATGTGAATGTAGATCAAAATGTTTTTGGTATGGGCACATGCGCGACAAAACGCAACATTCCGGCGCAAAAAGTTTTGCTCTACTCATAAAGGTTTTGCAGTTAAAGTATTGTGCGGCCAATGGACTCCCAGTAAGTTTCGGCTGTCCTGGAGTTCTTTAAGGAACTCAGGCCCCCTGACAAACACAAATGTCCCGGAACTTTGCGACAAGCATTCTAAACTACCGTCACTCATACTCCACTGGTGTATAATGCCTTTAACGGGAAAATGGCGCATCCCTGGCTTCCTCGACGCAAAAGTTTCCCCACTTAGGTTGTTTATCATCGGACACGACAGGCAGACAAGAGGGTGGTTGGTTGTCGTCTTCCACCGCGGCACCCTGAACTGTGGGTTCCTGAACCATCCCGCTCTCCAAGTTATCGGCACCCTATTTTTTGCACTTATTTTGGACCGCGTAGACAAGAAGCGCAGCGTGTAACGACTAAATTATTCGCAGCCAGGTGGACCGCTTCAAATCTGAGTCACTCATGTATACTCATAAAGGAAGACTTCACTTCTCCATCCCTCGCCTTCGCAAGTTTAAAGACCGACTGCACGAGCTGGTAACATGCACCCCACTGCTCAACCATATGATCCAACCCACTCAACACGTGGATACCGAAACCCTCTCTTTCGGACACCATTCTTATAAGTGAGGTACTTTTGGTCAGGTAAGCTGAAGTGCTCAGTTTATCTGTGCGTCTGGTGAAAAATTCCAATACTTCGACAAATACCCTCCTTTGCAGATCAATTTAGTTTTCATGGAAGACTCAACTGAATCTCTCGTTTATGCTATTCATCAACTGAATGTGTTGCACAAAAGCGCCTCATGTTTCAGTTGGTACACTATTCGAGAGTATATTTTCATAAAGGAAACCACTCACAAGTTTACTGAAAACTCTTGGACAGCCCACGACCGTTTTCGCCCTTCGTGGTGCTCATTAAGACAGGCACAGTCCCCGAGTTTTCGTCAATTTTATGTTCTACTTGAACCCAAGCTGGACTAATTTCGACAAATGCACTCAGTGGCAGATCAATTTGGTTTCCACGGGATATTCAACTGGTTGGTCCCTTTGGCTTTTGAACTTTCAAACTGTCTATCTATCGCTGACGGGTTAGCGGTGCTTTTGGAGTAGCTCGGAGTGTTTTCTATTTTGTGAAAACAAGCCAATCTGTTGGGCTCTAGTAGAACATAAGGCAGCGTCTTCATTAATGGGCTCCAACAAGAGCAGAACTAGTCATGGGTTGTCGAATAGTTTCCAGCAAACTTACGAGTAGTTTCCTCTGTGAAAATGATTCCAATACTTGTTTCTCGATTATCCGATGTATTTACTTGTACAAGTCCCTAAAGGTGCTGACTCAGAAGCCTGGTTTCTGCGTCTTTCACGAGAGCGCCCCTGTCATTCTTCATGTATTTGGCTGTAGACTGCGTGACGTTTCCGCCAGCCTACCTGAGTGACCTTGATATCAGTTTCTATCCGGAGCGTCTCCACGAACATCCGAATGCATTGCACTGAAACTCTTTACTCCTTCATTCTGTTATTTTCATTATGCAGTTCTGTGTAGAGAGAATTGCTTAGTTTTGTGGCAGCTAAGCACTGTTGTTCCCAGGCGGCACTGTTGTCAACAATGCTTCCTTATTTGTCATCGTTGATGAATTTGCTACCATCAATGGTACGCAGTTTTTTGACGTTCTTTCTCACGCCATTTGCGCGAGTTTCGCACCCATTCCTCATATTTACTTCATGATCTAACAACGCTCCATCCTGAATCCTGTTTCCTGCCAACAATAGTCGGAATACGTTTGCCGCGTACCCATTTACCTGAGTCGCGGCTTAGCGCGAGCTCGCGTTTGGAAAGTGAACAAAGTGCGGTTGGATCCGTCGCAGTTGCAGAAGGCCATGGCGTTGCATTCCGTGCTAGCCGAACTACTCACTGAACTAACGCACTATGAGTTCTACTCTGTTGACAGTGAAGCTTGCAAAAGCTGTAAGGTGCGAAAATTCAATCACTATGACTGGAATCCGGAGCAATCACTCTTTCTGGGCCTTTTGACTATAACAAAAGACAGTACGTTATATATATATATATATATATATATATATATATATATATATATATATATATATATATATATATATATATATATATATATATATATATATATATATATATATATATATATATATATATATATATATATATATATATATATATATATATATATATATATATGCTTCATTGAAGTACTAAAAACCCTTTTGACTAGTTCCGTCGGTGATCGAGAAACGTCTTCCAGATACGTTAATCTTGGCTGACTTGCTGCAGTTTACACCCCGGTCTTCGGATAAACAGACAAGTTAGACTGGTCTTTCTGGTGAATCCACCCCAAAAGGAGGGAACACTAAGCTGGAGCTCCACTCTCATTAGAGTCCATCCGCTGTGTCATGGTCTGTACTTTTTGTACCCTAATGCTGACTCGACTGAAAATACCACCTTGGGTGAGGATCAGGTTTTAGTGTTGTAATGGTTTTGTGGGATAAAGTGGCTGGAACTTCATTCCTTAAAGTTCGACAGTGTTGAAAAAAGGTCACATGGGAGGAAACAGATGAGAGTATCATGCTTCCGTACTACGAATAGTCATACTACGACACAACCTGGGGGTCGAGTGCGATGGGAGTGTAAGGGCAGCATCTCCATATTCATGGAAGCAACAATGTGACATCCTTCTGAGAGCCAACGAATTGGAACAAGTTAGTTTTAAAGTCTACCCAACGGTTGAACTTGGCGCCCGGCGCACTATTCAGTATGGCAAGGCCCTCCGAGAAAACCCTAACGCGCGTCTGACCACTGAAAAAACTGGATCTTATTGCAGTGTGGCGGTCTGTGTACCTTAGTGACCCAATGAGTTATACTGGAAGGTTCCAATATGACACCCACAGAGATTCCTATATCAGCTTGGTCACTTCGTAGACGTCCGATAAACAGTCTTCAGGTTTCTCAGTGTAAAGGTCTGAACAATCACTTTGAGTTATCCCCAAAAACTTGCATTACCACAGTAGTGTGCCGGCTCTCTCCCGTGGCCTTGTAGTCAGGCTTCCGAGTCAAATGCTGGGGTTGAAGAATCTAATCGTCCTCGTGTCCAGGTGTAGGCGCCTTGAACAGTAACCCAGCATGTGTACCGCCATGAACATCACAACTAAAAATATTACCATGTCACATCGGCCATCGCCTGGTGTCTTCAGCCGGGAGCCTTGCTGTATACAGCATCGCCCTACACCATCCTACACTCACATGTTCCCTCTTCTAACCTACTTCACCCATTTTCGGATACTCCCTACAGGTCTCCGCGCGAAAACTGACCAGTCTGTTCCCCATGTATCATGCTCAGTTGTCGGTTCTGTGGGTTCGACTTCAATAGCAGCTCTAAGCACCTTAAAGTCCGTTTTCAAACCCGGACTACCGGTCTGCTTATCTGTGTTCAATGTTCCCACACTGAAGCTAGCGGGAGAAGTGGTGGTTGCTCAAACTGTGTTCCCTCTACACTAATATATGCTGTCTGTCTGAAACCACGATCCAGGACACCAGTGCAATAACTGAACTGACTGCCCGCTCGTTCTCTTCCAGCTTTCGGATGAGTACCGCTGCCGCTGGTTATGCTAGGATGGATATTGTGTTGAGCGATCGAGCACAAGCGTTCCTACTTGATCGGATGCCTGTTGGTAGTCGCGAAAAGTGCTTCACAAAGTGGCGTCGATTGGATGCATTACCTAGCTAAAAACCATAAAACAGCATGGTGTAGCATGACGGTCTATTCCAATAAACTATTCATGCACAAGGAAACAGTTTCAGTTGCCGGAAATTTTCATCACCGCAATCGACTCATCTGGAAAAAGTGACCACCCTAGGGGGAGGAAATTTTTGTCTAGTCGGGTCACTGATCCAACCTGCATTTGGGAGCAGTAGAAGGAAAATACAATCTGTCATTATCCTGTGTATACCAGTCGTCTTTTGACTGGTACAGTGGGTATCACGATCGATATTGGCAAACTGTTACGCCATACCGAGAAGGTTTTTATACCGAACGTGAACCGATGTGGCCACTTTTTCAGCGTTGAAATTGTGCTTAGTATCATTCGTTGCGACATGTAGTTAAACATAATAAGATAATCATTCAGCTGTAGCCCCGTTTCAGGGCCTAGCTTCCATGCCACCTGAAGGAAGCACGAGGGCTGCGATACTGCCGGTTTGCCCAAGCCTAGACAAGGGAAGTCGAGAGGCTGAGGTCGCTTTCGAACGACGGACCTTGCAGTCAGTATATTCGCGCTCTAACTACTGAGCCATCTCGCCCCCAACGTGTAGTTGAAATGTGGATTGATCTAATTAATGTGAATAATGGGTCGGAGCGATGATCATTATTTCATCATTTTAGAATGCATCTTTCTGTGGAGGAAAAGTTGGTAACTCACGTAGCGTAGATGGTCGTTGGTTTGTTCGCTTAGCCGGGTAATTTGGTTGCAATCCATTCCTTCTTATTCTTTACGTCTAATCAGGTGGCGCAAAGATTCACGGGTAACCTAATTGGCAGGAATTGACTACAATTATGCCGGTTTGTCACTTTGCACTAGCGCGCCTCAGCTCATTCACTCTAGACAAGGAGAAATGATCTATAGCGCACTCCGAAAGTTCAAATCAACCAAAAGGATCCGAACTTTCGTAACGTCGGTACGGAAAGTATGCCGTTTGTCGTCTATCCACTCGAGGTAGCTCAGTGGCTAGGGCACCAGCTAACGGACCGGAAGGTCGTGGTTCGAACCCAACCTCAGCATCTCGGCTCCTCCTGTCTAGAAGTCTGTCCTAGCCCTCCTGCCTGCTTCCGTTGACATGCCAGCTAGGCACCGAAAGGGTGTTACAGCTGAACGGTTTATTTTTATTCATATTACTTATCTGCCACACCTACCGTCCTCAAAGTGACATGTCATCCTCTGAATGTACTCCCTCAAAGGAGAGAGGACTGCCGCAGTGTTAGTTATTACAAAACTGGTAAGGTTCACCTGTGGCACTTTTAATCTGCGCAAAGCTCTCACGCAATCCGAAGGAGACACATTGGCTAAGATACTGCCAGGTTGCTCAGGCTAAGAGAGAAATAAGCGGGAAGCTAGGGTTGGGTTCGAACAACAGATCTTCTGGTCTGTACCTTCATTCCTCAATTACTAGTCACTTTAATCACTTCTGCTCATTCCAACTGTTTTTTTTTTGAAGTTAAATCTTTTTTATTAAAGAACAAGTCGAACAGAAAGCCGTCACCTTGTGCTCTTTCGAGCATTAAACTAGGTCATTCGGCGCAAAATTGCCCAGAGTATGTTGAAAACATGGTTAGGTTGTATTTACTCATTCCATGTAGTTTTTTACTACGAAGTACCTATGCACTCTTTACCGTTCTGTCCATTCGTTCACCCAGAGCTGATCGACTGGGCGGCAAGCGACGAACTCCTTCGCTGGTCGGAATCGATGAAGCTTTGGCGGATGGGCGTCTCCAAAACCCAAAGTATTGTTGAGCTTCATTCGAGCGGAATTATTTCAGCCTATCCGTGTGTGCTGAGCAGTTTGCCCCCAAACATGTGTCACGGCCGCCTCGTTCGACCGCGTTCCCTTCCAAAACACGACTCTGGCCTGTTCGTTGTCTGTGATAGAATAAACGCATCATGCCCTACAAAACAAAGGGATAGGGATACCGTATCCTGCTACCGGCTTTCACGTCACCTAAATGCATGTCGTGTGAATTCCGGGTTGTCCGAAAAGACGTCCAGTCGGATGCCGATTGATTTTCGGACAAGTGACTGTTTTGTACATCCACTTCCTGCTTGGCTGTGGTTCTCACTTACTCTTATTCCACCAATCCTCTACCAAACAAATAGAGCGTTATTGTCCGTCGAATTTTGTGTCAAGTTAACACAGTTTGTGACTCTTAGTGCGGCTAATTGTTGGTCGGTCGTCAGTCCACTGACTGTCCTTGTCCCAGATCGATTGGACGCTCCGAATGGAATGCTTCGCCAGCTATATCATTCCACGGCTAATGACAAACAGGCAGAATCATCTAATGCAGGTCAACATTGGGACAAAAAGGTTGTCACAAAGCTACCCGCGTCATATCCTATTCCTGGACCTACGGAACTGTTGGAAGCTACAACACTTTTGCGTGCAGCAGATTCAGTTAATTTGGAACGTTTGGAATTCATCGGAGACTCCTTTCTCCAGTTGATCACGACGTTGCAGGTCTATCAGAATTCATCTTTGCAAGCAGACGAGCAACAGTTGACGAATAAACGTTCTGTGCTCGTATCAAACGCCAACTTGTATGGCATTGTTGATCGCGAACAGTGGTACCGGTACTGCACTACTCGGCCGTTTGACACTCGCGACCTTTTCATTCCTCCATGTTATACGCTCAAGGTAAGTCGCTGTCTGAACAGTGGCGCTTCAGCTTCTCTGCCGGAGTTGGTCGTAGCTTAACTGCGTACCAATGCTGCCAGTTCTAAAATAGGAGTTATTTTCATGTAGCACCTCCCTCACCCCCATACATTCATTTTGAATCACCCATCAAAGCGGACAAATTTTTAGTTCACTCGCTACCAGTTTGGTGTTGTTAAGTGTGCACAGTTTTCTTCCACGCGATCTCAAAAAAGTTTGGTTACACCAGGTTGCGGCAGTTGTCAAGAATTTGTGTGATCATGAACGCATTGAAACTCCATCCATTTCTAGGACCAACTTACTAACACCCACCCTCCTCAGACCACTTGATCGGATTATCTGGAACTGTGATTGTTCCCCGTTGCAAAAGCCTTCTCCATTTCTCGGGCTTTTGCAATCCACCAGCGCTCTTTCAAGCCTTAGATCCTTCTTTATTCGGGGATCTGCTTTTGAGGGATTTGCACGTGCCATCGCAGTCGTTTTTTGCTCATATAGTTTTCCTGTTTTCACTCGGAGCTGCTGATTGTGACGAGATCCAGTATTCATGTGAGTGTATGAGACTCCTCGGACAGAAAGTTTCGAAACCTATGTTCATGGCCTCTTTCAGCTTTCTCCAGTCGTCATCCAAATCAATATTGCCCTCGTCGAGTTCTGAGAACTTCGCAGTCAACTTAGCTGGATATTGTTGAGCTACTGAGACGCTTCACAAGTGGTTTGCTGAGTGTCTTTGCATCAACCGGAGGGAAAGCGAGTAAATATCCATTACCGTACAATACCGTGGTCTGGACTGAAGTGGTTTACTCCGAAATGAACGACGCTTCTAACTGATTACCACATGGTCCAACTGAATCTAACTGGCAGTCTAAAAGTCACTCGATGTGAGCGCTTGTGCTAACCACAAACAAATGATGTTCAACGCACCATCATCTGTGCAGTGAGCGTCAACCCCGAGTTGATCAACAATTTGGGCTTTATCAGGACATAGTAGGCCAATCTGAGCATTAACATCACTTGCCTGAATCGCGATATCCTTGCTAACCGGAGTAACCTTGGCTATCTTTCTCGGCCTGAGGGCTGTCATCTGTTGGAGCATATGCTGACACAAAAAGCAAACACCGTTTACGATGTTGATATACACTGATCTTGAATGAAGCAGTCAACTGACAACGCAAAGACAGCTGTTTACAGAAATCTGGTCCTGTAAGTCGCACTCATCTCTGGAGCTGAGCACAACTCCCACGGCATAGATACCAGGAGCCGTTTAATCAGGATAACCATGCACCCGAAGTGTAAGTGCGAGAAGTATGGGTTAGTGTCGACCGTTTTCAAATGTATAATCGAATTGGGGTATTTTATGCGTGTTTCGGATACACAGCGAAACAAGGTATGAGCAAAGATTTATTTTACTTTTATTGGACAGAAGCTTACATACGGACTAGTGGTTAGGTAGTTGACAGGTAGAAAAGTCAGAATGACTTGGGTGTGGGGCGTTTGTGTAGGAGTCAGTGAACAAAGATATGCAAGCGTGAAACTTCCCGGCTATCTAGGCCGAAGAAGGCGGTTTGCTCTAGGTATCCCCTCCGTTTGAGCCTTTGACTCAAAAGTATGACCCACAAGACAGTGGGATGATGTAGAGTTCTGTTCGGGAACCCTTCCTGTACCCTGTGATTAAAAAATCTGAACCATGAGACAGTGGTTGCTAGGGTTTTCTCAGGAACCATTTCCTGATGTAATGACTCAATGTTTTGACCCACTTGGGTGTAGAGAGCTGGCCTGAGCTCGGGGAGCATGGATTAAGGCATAAATATGCACATATGTGCCTGAAAGAAACGCCTTACTTCCTTCGCACTTCTATCGCAGACCTGCAGACCTCGTCGTAAGACGATTTCTCGCGGTGCGCGGACTCACTGTTCTTCATCGGTCTGCTCACTGTTGGCTTTCCTGACATGTTTTAACCTCAAATAACTGAGTTTCAACCAGTGTGGCGTGCAAGATCGTTAAAGGACTGAATGGTGACCGCCGTGACAGACTACAGTCTTGGACACTTAAGACTCTTAACTTGGGGCAAGTTCGTCAGTTGAATTTGACGCAAGACGGCGTGCTCTCCAGAGAATCCTGTGACTGTAGGTAATCCTCTAGTGCAGAAGGTTTACGTTACATAGGACACGCCAAAGAAAAAAGACAGAATGGATTCTTAGTGACTGCTGTTCTGAGTGAGAGTTAAAAAGGATAGGTGAGTTCTAAGGGCATTGTCGTCCAAGTAGGCTTTCAAGGGAAATGGCTTCAGTACAGTATGCCCTCTGAATGCGATTACAATATTCGGAGGATTAAAGTGTTTTTACATGGAATGTAAATTGGTGGTGGTGGAATTAGAAGGGGCTCACAAGTTTGCTCTTTTCTCAGAACTGATTCGGACTCAAGATGCACACTTTTCCACTTCTCTAAAGTGTCTGGTCATTCAAGGATCTACTACATTTGCGTAGCTTTCAGATTATAGATGTTAGCGTCTGATACAAACCGTAGAAGTCGAAATGTTATGATATTCCTCCTCAAAAAGCCTAAATTAGATTGATGTGGCTAGTTCATGTCGACGTTTGGTGGGCAGTCATCGAAGTAATATATAGCCTCATTTTTTTGACGGAACACTGTTTTCGAAACCTGTTCGGCAGGGCTTAAACGTAAGTATGTGTAAACAAAATCCGATAGTTGGAGATTGAGGTACACTTCTCTTTATGTAGAAATAACTGTGTTTGTGGCAGTAATTAAAATATCATTCTCACAAAGTGCCTAACGATGACTTTACTATATCTATCGTTATAATGTAGTAGATACATTGCCTTACCAATCGGAGCTCATTATTTAGCAACTTCTCTAGTCCCAATATCAGGAACCGGATGATCTGCGACTATATGTGAAATTAACCGACAAATCGCTTGCAGATATGATCGAAGCATTATTAGGCTGCTTTCTACAATGCGTTGGAATACGTGGAGCTTGCGGATTGCTGCAGCGTTTTGGCATCTCTTTTATGGACTGCGTTAATGGCACTTTGAATTCATCTGCTTCGATGTGGCGCTGCTTCTTCCAGGACCCCTTCTGTTTGACCGAGCAATTAAGCAAGTTAACCATCGGTTCTGCTGGTGGAGATGAAGCTACTACAGCTGTGCTGGATGAAAGTATTATCAGTTTACAAGGTCGGCTGGGATATGTGTTTAGGAACCAGGCCCTCCTTCACGAAGCCAGGACGCATAGTTCCTACTCTCCATTGGAGCCAACCGTTTGTTACCAGCGGTATGTCAGACTGTTTTACCTTACTTATTTGACCGTCAACCATATGGGTTACGTGATACAACTGGTTATTTTGATACTTGATGTATTGTGGCTACAATGCTTGTTTTATCGATCTTGGTGTTGATATACATCTGTCACTTTCACATCTTCCTTTGCGGTGTGGATCGTTGGTTGATACTGGACGCTGACACACCGTGGAAGATATCTCGTCAGATTGACAGATTGATCACCGTCACTTTAGCAGAACATGCCAGTGACATGATATCCTTCCAGTCTGTTTGTCCGATGTACAGACAGATTGAAGTATACTTTACCTTTTTCATTTTATCAATGTGTACTCTTAGTCCCCTTTCCACTACTCGTTCCTAAGGCAAGTCGGAGCAACAAAAGGGAGAGTTTTATCCCTGCGTTGTACAACAACCATTTTTGAGTAAATATAAAGTGGCTGAAGAGTCCAATGCCCCATGGAAAAATTCAATATCTTGGGATGGAATAAAAGAATAAGAACATTTTCTGTTGTAGAACATATGTGATTTGAAAAACAGAACCATGAAACGTTTTGAGAAGATGGTTGCTTCTGTTTCTCTTATCTATAATAGGATCGACTAACGCCATTGATGTATTATTGGTAGCCATGGTCGATAAAAGGGTTGCGATATTGTAAACTTCCTTTTTTAAAAATCAAAATAGCCCTTTCCCCATTTCTTGTTTTGTGTAAAATTAGTGGATAGTTGTGGTACGCTGACTTGTCCGAGTTCAGCCTCGTTTTATCATCATTCTATTACCCGATTGAGGTAATAGACAAATTTGTTTACCCGGGCAGCTAGTCCCAGTAGTCTCGCGAAAGATGATATTTCCATCCAAATTGGGAAAGCCAGAGCAGCTTTTGTGAACCTGCGTCACCTGTGCCGTAGGCGTGGCATCAGCTTATCCATCAAGGATCGAGTTTACAATGCTGTGGTGCGCTCCTTACTACCATGCGGTTCAGAAAACTGGCCGTTGCGCGCTCAGGATATCAAAAGACCTTCAGTATTTGGGCATCAATGTCTTCGTAGCATTGTCGGAGTCTGGTGGGAACACGGGATAAGCAATACTGAAGTACATCAAATGGTATTCGGAAGAAATAACTCGCCAATGAACCGATCACAGCGCATTGGTCGCACTGGCATAGCCACGTGCTTCTTATGCCAGTCGACGGACTTCCTCGAAGGGTTCTTTTCGCACAACCACGTGAAGGGTGGAAGAGAGTCAGAGGCGGTTAAACAATGGCGTGGCCATTACCAGCAAACTCAGCTGCGGTGGTCATCGCCGTCTTCCTGGATGGGGACCCTGAGACGTGGGCCACATCAATGGTTGGATACATTGTCCGACATGGCCCAGTCGCGCCTTCAATGGTGCTCATGCTTCCAAGCTATTGCTTTCAATGCTTAGCTCCCTTCCCAATCCCCCCACTTGACAGTCCGCTGACAGTGCCGTATTTACGCACTAATTTATTAGCTTCCGCCTCCAATTCGCAGCTTTCTACCCACCTCTCCAAACCATCGGTGAACGAAACTGTGGCAGCTACAACCACTGTACGACAAGTACACAGTTCTTACAGCTGAAAGTGATGATGAGGATTATGATTATCTTACCATCGCTTTTCAGAAGCCTAAAAGATGAGGTTTATGTGCAGCGTTGATAATGAGACTGCACCTATGCACAGTAACATAATCCGATGGTCAGTGACGGTCTTTTACAACCATTGATGTTGACTGTTCATCCGCTTTTAAATACATTCCAAGTTTGTTCTCATTCATGTTACGGTCGTACCACACTCACCTACTTCAGTGATCTATGGTAGCATGCAACCGCGTTTTGCAATGAGGCTAATGCTACCTCTGCGCACTAAGGAGAAGAACGTTTTGCACTCAGTTGATTTGATTTCCTCGGAATTTTTCGGGTAATGTGACACTTTTGACGTTTGTTATGTTTGTTTTGTTTCCAACCGCAATGATCTTATGCAAGCCGACCGAATGAAAAGGCGTGTGCGAATATGTGCACGTTGATGAACCCAAACCGAGAGTTCATGCATCTGTGACGGTTTCTACCATCGCAATTTATTCATGAAGATCTTCTCAAGGGTAGAGCTGCTACAACCAAGTTATAATCTAACCCAGAGCCATACGCCGTCGAACAAGTGGCCTGCTATCTCACAGTTTAGCCCTACTCTAATTTCCCTCATAGGTGCCATTCTGGTGTCTGTACTGGAAGATTGCTTGCAGTGTGGTGGCTGCAGGTTATAATCTAACCGCGATATCTCGACTTTTCCCTTACAGCCTGGAATTTCTTGGTGATGCCGTGTTAGGTTACGTTGTTTCCGATGATTTGTTCAGAAGGTTTCCGGATTATGATCCTGGTATGTATTTCACAAGGTTTCCACCATTTCCCTTATTTGTTTGATGAGATGGCTTTATCCGTTATCATTCCATGTGCTCAGGATCTTTGGTGCACTGAAATAACTTCGCAGCCTGTGCTTGCACTTTTATGTAAGGTATCTGTACATTTCAAAGTCGACCGCTATGATTTTCTTGGAATTCCCTGTTTCGCTTGTTCAAATGAACCCTTCCCCCAATCTTTGGTTTTACATGAGAGGTGGGTCTCTGGACCCATTTAAAAAAACTTATAATAAAAACTAGGGGTTAAATACGCAGAAAACGATGAATTCACTATGTTTCGCCAGCTTACCTTACCTAGCTGCCTCAGCGATCAACTACGCTACTCAAAAATGACACTTTCAAATAATAAGTTTGCATGAAGAATATGACAAATTCACGACCAACGATTCATTCACAGTTGGTTAGACTATAGTTACCTTCTGGATCCGATGACTCAGCTCTCATGGATAACTGCTCTTTCATTATCAGCTTATTCCGGTCTGCACAATTGTTTGCCAAGTGAGTTACATCGCTTTGTTTTGAAGTCACCGCTCGAGATAGTGGGTTAATGCTTGAACTCAGGACTGAGCAAGACTTCTACTCTCTGAATCTTTGTGTTACCTTCTATTTTCGTGGCCATCATGCTCCACCACGTTTGGTTCGACGTTGCAGCCACAAAAATAGAGCGAGCCACGGGGACCGTTGCTGTGGCTAAACGAAAAGGGCTGCACAGCTCGATACGATGGTTTCTCTTGTGTCCATCACTTCGCTGGTTGTGCAACTATGAAGCATCCCTGAAGCTAGAGATCTTATGACATTTTCATGGTTTGGGCATTTCCGGTTTCCTCACTCGTGTTGTCACTTCATGCTCTCACTTGTCTTTCACTTGTGATCTTTAATTACAAATTGCCTTCTCCCTCTTGAGTCCCATTATAATTGTAGTTCGAACTTTTTTGACTCCGTAATGTGCACATCTGGTTAATATTCTTACGACCACCCTCACTTTTACGTGTTACGTTGTCTTGTTGTTTGCTAGTCATGCGGTAGAAAAATTGTGAGGGTGCGCTTGAGTCACTTTTATACTGATTATGTGGGGGCGAGATGGCCAAGTGGTCAGCTGTGGCTAAACGAAAAGGGCTGCACAGCTCGATACGATGGTTTCTCTTGTGTCCATCACTTCGCTGGTTGTGCAACTATGAAGCATCCCTGAAGCTAGAGATCTTATGACATTTTCATGGTTTGGGCATTTCCGGTTTCCTCACTCGTGTTGTCACTTCATGCTCTCACTTGTCTTTCACTTGTGATCTTTAATTACAAATTGCCTTCTCCCTCTTGAGTCCCATTATAATTGTAGTTCGAACTTTTTTGACTCCGTAATGTGCACATCTGGTTAATATTCTTACGACCACCCTCACTTTTACGTGTTACGTTGTCTTGTTGTTTGCTAGTCATGCGGTAGAAAAATTGTGAGGGTGCGCTTGAGTCACTTTTATACTGATTATGTGGGGGCGAGATGGCCCAAGTGGTCAGAGCGCGAATTTACTAACCGGAAGGTCCGTGACTGGAATCCGACCTCCGCCTCTCGACTTCCCCTGTCTAGGCTTGGGCAACCTGGCAGTATCGCAGCCCTCATGCTTCCTTCGGGTGGCACCGGAAGGGTGCTACAGCTGAACGCTTTCTTTCATACTAATTTTGTTCTGAGTTTACTTCCTTGGCCAACAGATTATCTCAGTCGACTGAGACGTGGGCCGACATGTCATCTGTAATACGTCGAAACGCAGTCTTCTTCGGCTGGTGCTACTTATCTACCTGTTTGCAAATGAATTCGAGTGCCATTGAGTTGGCTTGTCCTAAAGCCCAATCCGATGCTTCAGATAGCTTTCTGTGATCACGTATGAGCATGTAGCGCCGCCTGCACCAATATTGCTAGTATTCGGTTTCTCAGCATTCAGTAGACGCTTTTTAATTCCTATCGCCATCGTTGCTTCCTAACTACGAGTTTCCCGTCGTTTCCCTTCAGGCATGCTGACGAATCACCGGTCTCTTATTGTGAACAATTTAGTCCTGGCTCGTGTACTCGTTGATCTGAAATTACACAATGGTATTCGCCATAATATCCCATCGCTCCATTCAATGGTGGACAAGCTATGTTCGGTACGCCTAGCTGACGTGAAAAGTCTAAGCGAGTTGAGGGTAAGTAGTCACAAGTCCTGGTCCAAGTGATTTTCCCGGGTTACTGCGATGATCAGCTGCAGTCATAGAATAGATTACCGTCCGTAAGCAAGCAACCTTCCTGAATAACTCAATTCTTGCCGGCAAAAATTACCTGCCGTAGGATATCCTTCGGTAATCCAAAAAGTCTCCAAGGACGCAATAACAATTACCCCATAAGAATATTCTGGTCATTTTGATTGCTATCCAGGATGATCACAACTTTCGTCGCAATGTCGACCCTTCAACCCATTTACCGCGCCATATGTACGATCGTTCAAGCAGAACTGCGTGAACTAGCAGAGCAAGCGCGTTTGTTACTGACACTTGTGCACTGAGATCGTTCGTGGGTAACAACAGTAGCGAGTATTGTGTTCACAAAAAATACATGCCCATTTCGTTGAGTCAAAATCTTTCTCGCCGATTGAGAGCTGGGTGGTCTTTCTGTATGGTGGCTAACCGAAAGGGTGTGTCTTGACTTTGACGTCCCACTGGTCAGCAGAAGGTGAATTACTCACTGTGCTCTTAAGCATATGAGTTTCGGTGTTTATCACTCAGCGAGCTACTTGTTGGGTACGAATTCGTAGCATTCCTTCTACTATTATTCAGTGTGTTCTTTTTCCAGTGCGTTTGGTGCATACTAGGGTTTTAGTGGTCTTAACGCCTGTTAATCGGACTTGTGTGCTGGGCACCACTGTGTTTCATTGGTTCGGTGAGCAAAAAATACATTCTGTGCTCAGCTCCTGAGTTTGTTTGTTATTTTACAATCACTGACGTTTTCAATCAGTTAGAAAAAAGTCTGGAACGGATTAAGAAGTCACCACTTACCAAACAGGTGGATTTATAACTGAGCAAAGCGTCGTCGGGCCAAGTGAGTTGGTTGCTATGGTGGCACTAAGTACACGACAAAGTTGGTTTTGAAGAAGCAGAGACCAGAGGTGTTGTCAATCTCCAGACATTCCAGTGTGATTGGAGTAGAAGACACCGAACTGACGGGCATGTGGATGGCAGTTGTAAGTGTGTCGAGCTGTCATTTGTCGCTTAGATCCGAAGTACGTAGCCTCCCAAACCGACGAAGAGTCCATCTACTTCCATTCCCTGACAAGATTGTCATAGCACACGAGAACCCACACCGTTCAATAGATTAGCCAATGACACCCTGAAGGAGTCACCAATTGAAGCGCCCCGGACTGGAAGATCGATGACGTGAACCCTGGTCAGACTTATTTTACCAACCCACCTTCAAGCCATCGGTCATAAGCATCCACACTAACCGATAAAGCTTTCCAACAGACGTTCAACACTGACCTTGTGTGCTAATCAAGAAAGATCCTGCTGTTTGGTTCTACGCCTGTCCTGAATCATGGCGAACCTGGTAACCTGCTCACTTGACCTGACGGAGCCTCTCAAAAGCGAAGCGTTTTCCAGAGCTATAGATCCGCCAACTGCTTTTTAAATCTCTGTGAAAAATCCTTGGAGTTATTAACATGGACCAGTTTTAACGATTTCTGTGTTGGACTGAAGATCAAAGCTACTCGACTTATTGACGTAGAGTGATCCAGCTGCAACACTACAACCTGTCTGGTACAGACTGATAGTAAAACGGATGTAGCGAATCCGATTCCCTAAAACCAACTCGTTGAACTTTTGAACAGGTTGTGGAAACCAACCATGTGTTAGCTAAGATTGCTTATCGGAAAGCATTTTGAAAAAGTTACTGTGAGTGTTATTTTATGAAGCTTAGTGCAACATGCACTACTCTTTAGCAGACTAGTGTCGGTCTCACTTGATTCCTGTTTTCATAATCGTAGTTAAGAAGTAAGAGGTAGACACGTTTAGCACCGGTGAGCTCTTGTGCCTCACTTATTTTCGATGAGCGAACTTAATTCAACGAGGCCTTTGCTACTATTGGCGTATGTGCGCACAAACTGTTCACCTTCGGTAGTGTATGCGCTCATTTGTGGAGAGCGTTGATTTCTCACCGGCTGGAACGACAGTTTGTTACCATTGGGCTTCCCCTCTCAGACCCTCGATGTATATGGACTTCGGAATGTCTTGTACGTGCCACATCTCAGCGAAAGACGGGTGACAAACATTTTCTGACCTATAACTGTCTAGCTGGTCAGATTTCGCTTCAGCAACTTATCATTTTACCCCCCCCCCAATGTGCTTTCTTAGGAGAAAATCCAGCTGAACATTACTGCGTTGCCGATGAAGATTTTGGGCGATGTGTTCGAGTCACTCATCGGAGCCGTGTTTGTAGACACAAAGGGTGATCTACAGGTGATACAGACCATTGTGCGTCGACTGCTGGGGAAAGTGCTGAGTAAGTTTTCCATATCTTAACGCACTATATATCTTGGATGTGTGATTCAGTTTAGGTTGCGTTTGAGAAGGATGACTGATAGTTTTACCACCGTATGTGACATGGAGGGAGGCTGGTAGTAGTCGATTCAGTCCAGTAAAATCGGTCGTTGTGCTGTCACCGTTTCCAGCTGTCATCTTCCATTCATAAGCTATGTTATTTCCATTGGTTTCTGAGGTTTTACTTTCTAGACCATGCATCCGCTGACAAATTTGCAAAATTGTTTAATTTCACTTGGGTGCTGAATGATTTGAACGAACTGTTGCCTTATTCAATCACCTGACTACTGAGTAGTTACCGTGTATGTCCTGAGTCATCAGAGTGTTGAAACATCGAAATTCTGTGGGGAAGAAAAGCATATGGTATCCAAGTGAAAGGACATTGAGATCTAAGACTATGATTATTATTACCTGGTCGTGGTCGCAGGTCCGACAAACCTGATTAACTATTGTGTATTAAATCTCCTTTCAAATAATTCATGTTACACTGGATTCAAAAGGGGTTCCGTAGTTAATGTAAATTCAGTGCCTCATCGACTATTGGTTCTGACAACGTAGATATCGTGCGCACATGAGCGATTGGTCACACATTGACTGCTTCCAGTGGAATGTGAACCTGCCGATATAGAAACAGATAATCGGAATGTTTAGTAAGAAGGTTCATCGTAACCAATAAGACGACAAGGACCAAAGAGATAACATCACGGTTTGGAGAAAGCGACATTCCGGTGTTTTAGACTGGACTCCTAAAATAGGATTTCGGCCCTAGAAAGGATGACTTTAGTGGCTAGTGAGGGCTTACTTGGGATGGGGCCCAGCAACCCGATGAAGTAGGAATCACATTCCTCACAAAGTGTGACGGAATCCAATAATTGTCCCAGCTTAGAGTAAATAGGACGTTTAAGTGGGCTTACTGATATTTGACCCTGATACAGTCTTCTTGTTGAGGACGTTTGAAATTGAGGTTAATTTGTAGTGTGGAAGATCAGTGACAAATTAAGCATGATCTGAAGTTTTTGCTCTTCTGTAAAGTCGCTGCCATGACTCTTCGGATCAAAGCGGGACAGTACATACTAGGGACTGGTAAAGGTAAAGATACACCACACTCGTGGTCACGTCGAAAATTCCGTCAGAATAATCTCTGATATTGATCTCGAGATAGCTCAGTATTTAAGGCGCCAGCTTGCGGTCCTTGGTTCGAACCATACACCGACACCTCGCTCGCTCCTGTCAAGGTTTGGACAGCCTGGCAGTATCCCAACTCGTGTGTCTCCTTCCGTTGGCATGGCAACTAAGTACCGAAATTTTTCTACAGCTGAAAGATTATTAATTTACTTTAATCTCTTCGATAGGATTGTCGGTTAGAAAATCGGATATAGTAAATTTGAGAATGATGTGGGTCTGTGTAGAAAGGGTCGTGTGATTACAGTCAGGGAGGGGTCTATGGTGACAGTTGATGAATTGATGCTGCAAGTAAGCGGCAAACCGAGGGAGAATTGAGGTGCCGAATTGAAGCATCTAGTGGACTAACTCTGCACACTATTCCTAGTGACGCGGGAGCAAGCACGTAACATCAGACCCAGTGAAATACTTTTCACCTTCAACCAGGATTAAGGGGCTTGGTACGCGGCGTTACGGTGGCCCACTCATCTTCTGAGAGCAATGGCGTTGTCAGGCAGGCCATAAGAAATTACCCACTTTGTGAAGGTGAGACTCATAGAGTTGGGATGAGTGCACGTGGTGCACTTATTTACCTCCATATGGAACCACGGCCACCGTTGCATCCGGGCCGACAAAGTTTACAGTCAGGTGTAGAGAATGTATTGTTAGAGATGGGGAGATGGCGTCACGTACGTCGTGAGTCTTATCTGTACTGGCTCTTACGTTCAGTAAAAATAAACAAGAATGAATGAAGAGTTAAACGAAACTTGGTGAGCAGTCCGTCATGAACAGTGTTGCAGCTGAAGTGGAGAGTTGATAAACTGTCAGCTTGGATAGAGTAATTCACAAGAAAACTTCGTTATGAAAAGGAAGTTTCGAAAAGCTGAGATTTTTTAGTTGTGTTTGGGCAGCTTGAGAAAAGTAGGACGGAGGAATATCAAGATGAATGTAGCCGTACTCGAGGGAGTAGGCGGGTGAAATACTTTGTAATGCCGCTGGTAATGGGTAGGTCACAATGGAGAGGTTTATTTTTGCGATCAATGAGTGACACTTCAGTAGGACAGTTGTGAATCTTAAGATCGTGCTAAGTACCAATAGGAGGGCCTGATAAGACAACAGGATTATTGTCTTTGTGGTTGAGAGCCTGGAGTTGTTGTTAGCTACTTTTATTATCAAGTTCAGAAGAGCAGTAATGTCGGCTTCAAATGGGGAAGCAGGGTTAAACAACGGAAGAGAGGGTTGCAGTTCCGTCGTCAAAAATACCGACGTAAGTAGATGTACTGCTTGGTACAGTATTATGGTGTGATCGGTGCATTGGTAGGCAGGAAACGTTAGTAGGAGTCTTTTGCTGTTCCACGCGAACCAGGGCTGATTATATGACTAGCACGAAGACCTGCAACACCAGATATACTGAGCTTGAACAGGGCACGTGATTGAGTGCATTGATATATGTTTGGCAAGCCTTGGTGATATACACTTGCTGGCTTTGAATCGCGGTTGCAACTGACATGATGCGTTCATTGGTAGGCAAGTAGTGTTTTTGGAACCAAATTTAGAAGTTGACGATAGTTATCGAAGCGAACACGTCAGCCAAGATATGGATATTTTTAATATGTTGACAGAACCATGTATAGACTTGGCGGTTTGATCCCCTAATGAGGTCCTAATAGGGTCGAGAAGTTGGGGTCGGATACATTGAAATCGAGGACCTGGAATCCATATTTGGTATGTTTCCGTTGATAGAATGCCGGTACTCGCTGCTACTGTCTTCACTAAGAAAGGTGATCCAAGACATTCTCAATGATCAAGAGGAGTGTTTAGCGGGCGTACACTTTGATATGATCTTCTTGACCCTAAGGGAAGGTTTCCGGTGAACGTTCGAGCTGGCCATTGTCGGTGTTTCTCAGCCTGTGATAGTTATTTGGGTCTTGGAGACTTAAATGATCTGGTATGATCGAGTGGGTCCATAAAAGCTACATGTCTACGGCCGTGGCGGCTCATTTTACAGAACAATGGTGCTAAACAACATTACCGCAGAACTGTTAGCGAAACAATAGCATTTCAGCGTGTGAATGCGGTTTTCTATAATTTCACTTGGGGAACACTTGTTTCGAACAATTTTACGCTTGACCTTGAGGTTGTTTAACTCGTGGCACTAATTTTCATTTTCGACAAATTGGTAGGCCCTCATTGCCTTCAATGCAACTGAGGGATGAACGTTTGCCAAGGAATACCATGAAATATACTTGTCGAAAGCGCCACACCACTAGGCTCATTCCTCTTAAAAAAAAACAGATTGCCACCTCGAACCCGACTATTACCGGTAATCATTACCAATTGCATTAACTAATTTATATGACTAGGCCGAAATAATCCCGGAGTATTTCGTGGATTTTTGACCGAAGACTAAAGCTTTCCAAAAGCGGATTTCCGGTACGAAAAAGTACTCGTTCGGTTTCATGATCTCATCTAGAGGGATCACCGTCCTCCAAATTTGGACCAGTTTCGTATGGTATAATGTAGTTCGCCTACTTCATAAAACACGAAAATAGCATGCTGAATTGTCAGTCGATGGACTGTTCCATGCATAGTCGGCTAATCATGCTATAATTTTATCTCCATAACAACCTGGTAGAATACCTTACTAGATTGTGCAATGTGACCGGTCGATTGTGGTCCTTTCACTCGACTCATTGGCATGTAGTACTTGCCTGCCATGTGAACGCAAAACTTGTAATTGGTGTATCACGTTGGATGCATTTTTTCTTTTGTTATTAGAATTACCGCCATAAATCGTTTGGGCCTGAGGACGAAAGTGCAATGGATATGTCATCATGATTATTGGTGGATTTCCCATTTCGTAAGATTCATTAATGAATTCGCTATACCACCGGTGATTGACCACACATTTCACTTACGACTTGAACTTTCATGACTTTACTATGAAAAGGGCTAGTTCCGTACTTTCTGATTTTTTACTCCACTAGTTTAGATCAACAACTTCATATACTTATTACACTTAATTTGTTTTGTTTATGTTCGTGGGTTTCTGCTCAGTTCAGAGAAGCTTAGATTGCCAAGAAATAGTTCAACGACCACGAATTGGCGTGTCGCTCATCGGTTTATTGATGGCTCGATGGAAACACCACATGTGGTCAGTACCGCGCCGCCCAGCGAATTTCTGCTCGATTCCGTTTTTAACGGAGAACGTGGACTTCATTCGCTGTTGATTCCCACCTCGTAATGTGGTCTTTAAATGGACCGTATTCGCCAAGTCGACCCTCAGTAGCATGTGATATGGCTGATAATAAACTCAACCGTTTCACCCTATGGCAGACTACAGTACAGACAAACGACCTCAGTAATGACTCATGGTTTTCCATCCCCGCTTAACTGAACATGTATAGACCCAGTCGTACCCAGACTAGTGAGAGCGACGAGTCAATAGTAGACCCATTTGGCTGAGTGGAACAACAACTTCTCTGAGGAAACCTGTACTATTTTGACAGTTTGTTTCCCCCCATGAGCTAAGTAGCACTTCAACAAACAGATAAATTCGCAACTGCCAACCGATGCCAGTCGCTTCACGGCAGCAAAACATTAGTCATGCCATGGATGATGAAAATGAAATACCTGAGTAGATCTATCCATGTGTACCTGCATTAGCAGTGAAGGGATTTCGGAGTTTGCGCGTGATATTTAATTGTATACTGGCTTAACATTGCTCATTGCTTTCGCAATTCTGGAACTGGTGCAGATCATTTTTTGGGTACATTAGGATCTCCAAATACCGCAGAATCGAACCTCCGATGTCAACATTTTCAAAGCCAAATGTGTGAGCGAACCATACACACAATGCGTCCAATCAGTTTCAGATGCCCTCTACCTATACACTGATTAGGAATTGTCATAAAAAGTTTAAAAAACGCTCCGTAACGATGTTAGTATTCGAGGACTGTAGTCTTTCATTGGGTCAGCGTATTCACCACGGCTGCATAGTTTTTTGTGCAACTAACATCTGGCAGCAGTTTATATGAAAAAGATATCGTGGTATCGGGGGAACCTGTTAGAAAATCAGGCGACGGAAATTTTTCAGAGGCACCACACGGAGCTGCATGCATCCATGCACATAAAACCAATTTTTCTTGATTGACGGGCAAAGCATGTAAAAGAACAGTTCAGCTGGCCTCTTTCAACACAACCGGCAGGCCTAAAGGGAACATCCAAACCAGCCCACCGTTAGCAAATCCAGCGTGTGATATATCAAACTGCCAACGTGACAAGCCACCTGTCACGGATGGTCCGTACTTCACGCTCTCCAAGGACGGTAAGGTCCTGGTAAAGTCTGACGTCCATATTATTAAAAAAAATTTGGGAAAAAAGCAGAATACCAGTCTAATAGAGCTCCTCGACCGCCATCTCAGTCTTCAGAGGGCGCAAAAACGCCATACAAAAAGCGTCATGAGATCAACGGGCTGGTCGAGAGGCAGATTCGCGAGAATCAGGCTGGGTCTTGCCCTGATCGTGGATGCATCGACATACCTCTACTTTGAGATAAGTCCTTGAACAGTACCATTGTTTGAAATGTCCCAACTTGGTAGTTTTTCTTGACGTGAAAGCTGCTTCTAACTCGGAAAACCCAGTGTTCCCTTCAAAATTGATATCCCTTGTAAGGGCACTGTGTGCGAACTCCTGTGGGGGCGTAGGAGTATACGGCGAGCTCTCCTTGGTTCAGATCCTTCCCAAATGCAGCCTGAGGTCACTACACCCTAAACCTGTTAACGGTGTGTTGCTTGAAATTTCTGACTGCATCCGAAGCCTCGGAAGTGGACATGCTCCCATGTTCGCTCACAGACGCTGAGTACGCGGACGAATCGCTCTCCGTGGTTCAGATCCTTCAGAAACGCCTATTATTTCAACATAAATAACGCTGTCGTTAGGTTTGGCATGCGCCTCACGCCTGCAAAGTGTAAAGTGCTGCTACAAGATTTAGTTGGATCAAACCCAAACCTCGTGCTTGCAGGTTAAACAATCTACGTGGTAGGTAAATTTGTTTCCGGGGGACTAGCTGGAGATGACAGTAGTTCTTGAATCGGAAAGACCAGGTCAGCTTTTGCCAGCCTCTGATAACTATGGCGCAGATGTGACATGAATTTTTGTGTAAACGGAAGCACATTTCAAGTGAGCCATCACCCACTGACTCGGAATACTGTCCCCCTTTAACCCCAATTGCCCTCCTCCGGGGGGGGGGGGGCGAGGTGGCTGACAGCGACAGGAAGACGAGAAAACTGAATCGCTATTGCATTCAATAATATGACTTGATATAAAAGGTGTCCAAGATAGAAAAGTTGAATTGCAAAATACTACAAACAACAGGGGAAATGCAGGCATTTGTATAAAGTTTGAAGGCAGTGCAGTTGGTATTGATCACTATACGCCAGTAGCCCAATCTTCTCTAGCATTGATTCTGGTCTATTGTACGCAGTGGAACTTGAAGATGGCGTGCCAGGGCAAGGCGTGCTTCATTGCGTGTCGCTCCATAAGTGAAGACTTGTCCTCCAGAGACCGTAGCACAAAGCTTGTACTTTTTTCCGGCTTCTGCTTCTTCTACTTGACCCTCGCTAGAACAGGAAAGGAAGTGTAACAATCGGAGTTAATACATTGATTTTAGGATAGAGAGCTTTGACACTTGAGAAGCGCATGCATCAAGGAAGGAAAACCAATGTCGCTTCCGCGGTTACTGGTTACTGAAAAGAGGACGAGTGAAGGAGACGAAGCCAGGAAATATTCTGCGGAGATGAAGCCCCAATGATGCATAGGTGTAGCCCGACCGCTTGCCATTCGATGGACTGGAAAGATTCCATTCTAAACACCTCTGACGCATTCTATCAAGCCAACTGACTGGAAGTGAGCGATCTTCATACGAACTCCGCATCGTTGTAGGTGGAGTCTGCTCAACTGTATAACTTTACCAGGAACGAAATCTATGCCAACATTATCCTAAGGTAATCAGGCATTCAAAACCGCCTCCCTTTCAAACGATCTCGTCGTGTTTTTCTGTTTCTTGAAAGGGTCGTATAAACAACTAGTGCCAACACAAAACCAATTTAGTTTTGACGGGGACCCACTTGGAACCCAGCTAAATTGATCGTTCACGATCTTCTTAATGAATAGTGTACTACATCTATACAACTAGAGTGCTTGTTTTGGTTCGGATGTGGCTTGCGATGCGAGGAGAATCGTTCTTCACAGTGCTCGTTCGCAGCCTATAGGCCATGAAGTTACGAGTAGAAAAAAAGCTTGGATGATTAACCTCAGTCCACCGACCAAAAAATCTGTCAGGTGTAGCACCTAGGTGAGTCGCTATCATGCAATTCGAAGAAAGCAAGAGAGCTCAGATTAAGCTAATTCGCTCAGAAGTTAATAGAGAAATGACCTGTGGTTACAGATCGGGTTTGGTAGTGAAGTCGATGGTGGAAAACCAGGATCGTACCGCGTACAACGGGGTGGTTTTGAATACTGTAACAGCTGCTTCGGTGTGTCAGAGTTTGCGCGTGTGCGTCCGTTCGTCGTTCCACCATCGATCCGACGTGTGACTTGAGTGGCTGATTGGGTGCGTTTTCGATTGATGTGCTCACTAGCGCGTTATGGGTTGAATGGATATGTGACTCAAGTGTTTGCTCACCCGCCAGGAAAGCGGACCGTTTGGCCGCGTGTGCACAATACACCCGTGTCATTACCTACGTGTTTTTCTGACTTACTGTGAACTACAATAAATACCATGTCAGTGAATATCTCTAAACATCGGCTAGGTAAGTTGTTCATGCAACGACCACGCGCAAGTTCCGCCCACGCACGGTTAACGCCCAGATTTTCATGTTTCGTTTCTTATCGGATGAACGCTGACACCGGGTTCCTGCGTTTGAAGAATCAGAATTACCCAGACTATAGGATCATTAAATAATCCGTCACTTGAGTCCAGGGTTGGGTTGTTGGTTTTTTCGAACCATTTGCGACTTGCGTTCAAGAGTTATTCCTCAATCTTGTCTCGTCGTACCGAAATCTTTTGTGCTACGCAAGTGCAGTTACGTTATGCAAACAAGGTTATTACACGACGTTGCATTCACGAATGAATTACCACTATCGAACTTGCTGCTGACAGTCGTATGCAACTATCATGTGCAGGTAACGTGAAGGTATCCGAGTATTACAAAAGTAATTCAACGGCACATTCAAGCGCCTCATTAAACTCACGTATACTTGAGGCGGGGATGCAAAATGTGCATGGATTTGAGAGGATTCATGGGATTCCGTAATAAATAATCATCTGGAAAGGTTAAGAGAGAGTAGTGAATAAGATGATTGCATTAGGGTGAAAATCACCACTTGGGAAGTCAAACAGGGGAATAGTAACCAAGAGAATCGTACCAATGTTGTAATGGTTTGCGGACTGTCAACGATTTAGTTTGCTGGTTTCCAGTTTTTCTAACCTACAATCCCGCACCTTTCTGTTGCAGGTAGGTATAACTTTATGGCTCGAGTTGATGTGAAAATGACTGTGGAAATAGTATAGTCTGGTTGCAAACAATTTCGTGCTTTGGCGTTTTACATTCAATAAACCGACATGACATTGATGACCTTGAGGAGGCCCTGGTGAACGACTAGCGATATAGTTGTGTTCGTCGCCAGTGGGTCGGAAATGTAAGCTGGTAACAAACGATTCGTCGTTTCTATCGGAGTTTGTCTGATATGAATGTTATGTTTAATTGTTCACAAAATGTTTGGGGTAAGCGAGACTTACTGGTTCGTGCACAATTTTAAATTTCTACGTGTCTATGAATGTCTAGTGTGGTATAAAATGAAGTTGCAGATGCGACAGTGAAAACTATCATAATATAGTCGACGCACATGGCTGCCGTTGTAGGGAATATGGGAACTGAGATACTGCAAAGGTCTTTCATCACTCTAGGGTTTCTGACGAATGTATAGAAATCTACTAAAAAGATTAACATGAGGAGCGAGGGGACTGCTACGATATGGTGGCTATCAGAACAATCACCGTGCTGTTTCCGTCGGAATTAGCGCTTACCGGACGGGATCAACCTTGGAATAGTACACAATGGTAAACAAGGGCGGACATAAATCCAAAAGGATCCCCGCCCCAGTAACAAGATATTGGCATATGAGGGCTCTGGTTAGGCAATTCCAGCAAGATCAGAAGCATTCACCTGGAACTATTTTCACAGGTTGAACCTATGTCTCATAACAAGTTTATTCTATTTTGATGTACCTGATCAGCCAAAATCCCGATAAAAAAACGACACTTACCAATCCGTGAATCCAACAATCTATGAATAAGCTGAGACACGGTGGATAAACTACCCTGGGTGTCCACAAATATTGCACCCACGATCGCCTCGAATACATCGGCGAGGATCTTGGCACGCAAGCCCTTCAGCACTTCTTGATTGAGTAGCTAAAGGCGAACAAGACGGAACAACACTTATCACGATGTATTCGTTTACATTCTGCGAATAGTAATAGCTCAGCCTGTCGCAATTCAGTCACACTCATGGATTGTATATACCTGTGACTGAATTGTGTGGTGCAATAATACAACTCCATATGGAGCGTTCGAAACCCTAACCAGGCCACCTGTTCCTTCCGCTTCGAAGCAACTTACCACATTCAGGTTTCCAGTACAACATTCAAGGCAGCTTTTATTGCCAATTTCAATATAGTAGGCACTTAAGTCCTAAAAGATCATGTTACGTGTTGAAACGGTACAAAACTGTTGGATGATCCAATCGGTAATTGCATCTGGGGAAAACAAGATATGCACAGTGCTTACGAATCTACCTAGTGATGTTTCCACATCGCACTGCCCCTGATCCTTATTGGTTCTAATCATTGGATCATGCTTTTGATATGAGCAATAGAATAGTCTGTTCGGAACGGTTAGAGGTTAAAAAGCAGGGTTCGTCAACGTTGTTGGACAGCAGCTGGACGTTGTTGGACGATGCAGTAATGAACGGGTGCATTGCAGCTTACTGGGAAAATCTGGCCTGCCCAGTCTTCCTCGATAGAGCCTGGGAAAGTCAACGAGTTACCGAAAACTCCGTATGGTGGTTCAATGCGAAGGTGCTGGCAACCGCATATAGCAAACAAAACATCCCCCATTTTGTATTTGCGGGTCCAACCTGTCCAGTTGGTGTTTTCAGGTACTGTGTGTTTGAAACACACGAACATGGGGAAGACGCCCTAGTCATTCAATAGTTGGATATTGATCCAATCAGATAATCTTGAGGAGTGAGAATTAGAGTCTAACAAAGGTCATGAACAGACAAATTACTATAAACTTCGGGAAATAACGAATACAACAACAACGAACATCACAAACGAGATTCAGCTGGGTTCCAGGTGAGTCTCTCGAAAAACCAAATTAGTTTGCAAATGAGTGTATACTCGTTAATAACGAATACCCGTTTTCATTGCAGATGGTCTGCAGAACAAGTTCATTTTGCCCCGAATGTGCGAATGAATACGTCATTTTTGAGGGAAGAAGGTTTTGCTGGCCTAATACGAGTGAAAAATGTGGACATCAGCAACGGATGGTATTCAACGTTTTATAAGAGCTTGGTAATTAATCGGTTGACGTATTGCTCCGTTCAGCAATAAATCCATCGATTGTTAACCAAAACCTTCTGAGAGGATGGCTTCTTGATTGGTTCAATTTACTGGAAAGTCGACAACAGATGTAAGATGGGCTTTCTACTAATACATGTACTTACTTCTCGTATAACGTTTGGATACATTTTGAGAATCATCACCTGCGGTGAAATGTGTTAATCGTTATCCGTCGTGGTACACGAACCGAAATTTAGTTTAAAGTGCACACGGAGTAGCCGAAAAATCTTCGACAGCCCGCAACCGGTTTCGTCCACCTTAGGACTCGTTAGGTAAAAAAATAAAGAAAAACTTTTAAAAAAACGTTCCGGCGTAGAACCCTTCCGGTGCCTAGCTGCCATGCAACCAGAGGGCTGGGATACTGCCCGGGTGCCCAAGCCTAGAGAGGGGAGGTCGGGCTCAAACCACGGACCTTCCGGTCCGTAGATTCGCCCTCTAACCACTTGAGCCATCTCTCCCATTTCCGTCTAAAAAAGAAGCACTTAGCTATCGCACGAAACAAGCTAGTTAGTTGGTCCGCGAAACTCCTCTCAGAAGAGATTACTGTGAAAAGCCCCTGCAGGAAAGGAAGGTGGTGCAGAACTTGCAGCGAAAGGCTACACGATCAGCCAATAGCTGTCCGAACTCGGTTCGACTCCCAACTAATCGTCAGAATATTTTGATGAACAACTGAGAGTCAACACAGGCTAAGGTAACCCAATCGGCAAGGATTCTTAGGTCAGCAAGACAGGCAAACAGTCAAAGCAGTCCGAACAAACAACGGTGGCTGACACAAGCAACTGCACGGTCAATCGCACTCGCACGAATGCGAACTAATGCAGGATTCGAAACGGTATATGCTTTGTACTCTAACGAAAACTCAGTGGTTTTGGTTCATTAAATGAGTTTTTCCAGGAGTGGACTAAAGTGTTTTGCTAGATGACAAGTCCCACGGGCGGCTCTTGTTCGGAGAGACTACTGCACACCGAAACAGAGCATTGGATTGACAACGTTCAACGAGATGCAGACATATTCGACTTACTTCTAACTGATCCGACAAGGAGGTGGTCGTATCCAAAATAAATTGAATAAAATCAACAGCAGTATCAAAGGCGGGTTGATTGTGAGTGATATATGGATGAAGTTGATGTTCGACGATAGCACAGGCCAAACTATTGTTGCTGACGATGTTCGAACGAGATTCGGTCAACTGGCCTGAGCAGAAATCGAAAGATATATTCATTACTAGGGACAGTCGTGAGAGGATAGCGAAAATCCTGGTGCTCGTCCGAAGGGAAAACGCCGGATGATTCCGCAGGGTAGGGACACAACCGGAACAAAGCTGCTGCGAAAACACAAACCCGAGGCATCATAGCAAACAATTTGAAGCTCAATCGTATTTAGAGGTAGAGAACAGTCTTACTCGAAAGCGCTAGATGAAAGATGCAGCGTTCTATGTGAGGAAATCTCCGTTTGGTTGAGGTTTTCGCGTTTTAGCTCAGGTGATGCGTTTGTAGAGAATATTCTTAACCGCTCCAGCTGCGTAACAAATACGTCGAGCTAGAACAAGAAACAAGACCAATTCATAACCGCCTGTGCGCAATTGGGACCACCGGCCGGCCGCCCAAGGCTATTATGCATTGTCATCCAGAGCTTCACACCACTGATACTACCACATCCAACCGATGAGCACATATCGGAATGAAATGCCTTTTGGGACAAATCACATTTGGCCCTAAATTCAGTTATTTTTTATTTCACTGGTTTATCCTCATATAAGAAACCACCAACCAAACACCCCAAGGCAAAAAGGTTTTCGGTGTGCGGAAATTCTTTAAAGACGATGAACAATCCAGAAACGTTTTCGGGTCTCTTGACATCTATCGGAAAATGGTTTGCTACATGTGGTGTGATTTTGCTGACCTACATTCCTGTTTCACCGGTAAAGCCAAAGCCGTAGGTTTTGCTACCTCTGTTGAAATCCCGGATTGCAGTCCCTAGGTTCCATTGAAAATTTCTAGTGAAATCAACCAAGCAGATGTCTCAGAAAAGTCAGAATTTTGAAGATCATCCAGAACAACCGAAACCTACTGAGACCCTCAAGCTCTGCTGAACGCACCAGACAGCCCAGGACCATGGTCAGACAGTGCCCTTAAAAATACAGCGCCAGGCCGCCGTACTTGCACACACGCTTGTTTGCAGCGGCACCAGGCACTGGAGCGGGGACAACAGTCAGATATACATATCATGTTAAACTTCGATCTTCCGTTCCACGAAACAGCGGTACGAAACAAGCCGGGCGAAAACCTTGGTGTGAACGAAGGCGCCCGGGGGATGCAGTTGAAACAGACTCCCGTTTACCGGGAGGATTAATCCTCAGGGGTTGATTTCAAGGGTTTAGGGAGATTCCAGATCTAATCACATTCATTCGTCGATTTTCCCCATTCAAGACAGATATGGGGTGAGAACACATGTGCTGATAGAGCAAGTCACACCTAGGTTTGCAAAAGATGAAATTTCGCCCAGAACGATGGCCTTATTAATGTCCCTAATGCATCCACCAAGGACTGCACACGTTACATTTGCGTGAAGGCCAAACACGAAGGTGGACCAGGAAAGTCCGCCGATCGATGTTACAATGCTTTGGCGAAACGATGCTCAATGTCCGGCCACATCTTTACAGCAATGGCTGAACAGCAAGCCAGAACAAACAGACAAGCGATATGGGGGTGACCTAACGAAAGACCCACAGGCCTGGCGAAATAGATGTCACAAGCTATCGGGTGAGGTGAGGGCCTATACTTCCACAGAAGCTGGTTTCGCAACACCAGATTATTCACATGCATAATGTCTTGTAATTCAGATCTCTTTTTCCTATAATTCCACTGTTTTTTCGATATGTGACTGAACTATTAGGCGTGCTGTTAGGAGCCGTTCTCGTTGAAAATGGTGTACGTAAGCTCACTTTATTCACTATTTCACTAAAGCCTCCAGTTGTACCTCTTCTATGGGAACCACATTTTTGCCTTACCTCGAGGTGTACTTGTAAGTTAAAATAATTCCAGCGGATCATAGAAGGTATATCTATCGTCAACAGCCCAGAGAGCCGTGTTGGAATAAACGCCATCTCATCAGCTACAAACCGCATACGGGCGATTTGGTGGTCCTAACTGCTGCATCATTTCCATCGTACCTTAACCAGGGAGGCGACCGATTTCCCAGAAAAACTGGGATTTCCACCCTCAACCTGAAACTAAGGGTGCCATTCAACTATAGCGTTTTTTGTGCCCGGACATATGTATGAATCTGGATACAGAAGCAATCAAAGAATCAACGCGAAACGGGAGCTAGAAACTCTATGAGCTGTGCTTAGTGTCCCGCATTCCTAGAAACTGTAACACGTTTCTTATGCACTGATACCTCTAAAAGTGCAGACAATTTGTTATTATACTACTAATATTCCTTCCAGCTGCCGAGCGACAACAGTAGACCAAGATACTGTTCACAAGTGGGTTTTCGTACTACTTGGAATAATTCGCTTTGTGTTGGCAAAAACGCGGAGGGTCCAATGATTTTTCGGCACAATCTTGAAGGCGATTTAGTGCGGAATCGGCTAAGGACAGTCAGGCTTGAGTATGCATGCATTTTGTTCTGAAGAGAAGCTGGCTGAACTATCACGAATCAATTCGAATTTGTAAGGACATGGCACAGTTGCTCATGTCGAAAAAATGTGATTCCGGAGTCTTTGGCCGACCAATCCAATCCCAAGTGCAGATTACAAGGAGTAATATTCACGAGTGATGGGATGTTTACTTTCTTCCCAATATTGGAAAATACACTCTTCACAAAAATGGAAAAACTTGGGTTTCCGGTACAGACTGAGTTAGTTCGCGGGATGAAAATCTGCTTTGTAACCCGAAGTGCATTACATTTGTCCAGGACGATTATTGAAACAGAACACGAAAAGCCGAACTGTCAAGTAACGTGAAAATGCGCCATTGTACCGAAAATTCTCTCCGCAAATCAAACGCTGTTTACTAGCGATGGTTCAGTAGGGTCACCCATCAATAATTCGAAAACAAACATTTACACAGCTTTCATCAGAAAAATTCCCACGCTACTTTACCCGGTAGTCCACCCAAAAAGGTGAAGTACTGGACTCATATCGCTCCAGCTGAAGCTTATCCACGCTGCATTTTGTTGGTGGTTGCGGGAAGTGAACATTGAGCGTCTGATATAATGGAGGCACGCGTGTCGCCTCTGCTATAGTGCTGCACGCTGGACGCTTCAGAGGCCTAATCGGCTTCATGATTTATTTCACTCTTTGGTGTGGAATAATTGCACAAGGGCAGAAAGAACACTGTTCTCGTTAGGGTGACCTGAATGAGAATTCTACAAACCTCGCAAACACCTGCAAAAAGACAATTTGGTTCGGATGGCGAAGAAGTTCGCTGGGATATTTTTGANTTTCAGAAGACCCTTTTTTATCTGACAAAATAAATCTTAGCATCACCCGAGGGGAACGCTTTCATTAGACAGAATGTGGTTGATTGTACACAGTAATCCACTACGCTTTTGGTTTTACTTACTTCTAATAGGAGGTTTTCGATCGTTGATTGAAATTCCGCAAGACTCCATGAGAATCACATCAGTCAGGAATAGCAAATGACCGTCCCAGTTAAAGGAATTTTCCAAAAAAATTGTTAATCTGGTTCAAGGATAAAGATATTTGGGATTTACACAGTCATGGCGACTTTTAGTGATAACCTATACTATTCCTGCAAGCTACCGGTGGGAAACAAGACAGCATATTCTCACTGGGAGCCCTGACTCGGTGAGGGTACAACTCAAGTAGTCCTCAACCCCCCCCCCAATGAGTGTGTTCCCACCAACACGTAAAAAAGTACTCCCAAGGACCATGTTGCCTCTTCTGAAAACCACTGGTTCAAACAGCTCGAAATTTTCTTACTTTGGCAATCGAGGAGAGAATCAGCATTTAGATAAATCAGAGCCAAGGCTCAGTTCGCAAAACACATTCAATATCAAAAGCTTCGCCCTGACAGGTGGTTAGTTGCTGAAAACATATCACACCAACTCAGCTGTTCCAGCCACATAACTGTAGTAGTGTGGTGGTACGCAGCTAAACAAAGGGTCACACGGTGGCGAAAGATGAACGCCCCAGTGTCTAAACAGGTAGTCGTGAGTGGGCGATTGTCAGCTCGCAATGCAGATACGTATATGCTTTCAAATCAACAATCAGAATAGTTGCGCGCACCACATACACCTGAGACAAGATTAATTCCTGTACCACATTTCAAGGATTCACATGGACATAACATCCAACTGGTCAAACAAAAAAAACAGGTGCTGACTTTCCTTCCAAACGACGAAAACCAAGTGATTATGTGATTACTGACAATTTATAACTACCAATACTCCTGGGCTCTAATTCAAAAGATCAAACCTCCAGGTGATTAACAGCAGCTGGCGCATATATGTTATTGGAATTCGTTCCATATGTACATGAGACATTGGAATTTCCGATAAGTTGCGCACTTGCTGTCCGGAAGCCGACCATCACATCATTTGGACGGATGTCACCTGCAGGCTACGGACCAAACGAAGGCACGCCCTGATTGGCCAGAATGCCAGCCAATTTGGATCGAGCATATTTAGCTCGACGCTTTTCGTCCCCTCAAGGAGCTTCTAGCACGACCTTGTGGAACACTGCGACTACCCTATGAACACTGTTGTAATAATCCCCAGTTGTCTCCGTAAAGGGCTATCTGAAGTTACGGTGCCCTTTGATATCCCACAGTGGGCAAAGCAGAGAGCCAAGGGTCGATACAGAGTTTCACGACCGTTCAAGAGGTCACAACACTTGTAGAATGCTCAAGTTGGATTATATGGGTCAAAGCAGAACAGGTTTAATACAACCGGCTTTATGGGCACAAGGTGAACTCAACCCAACCACGCCTTGCTTTACACAATCCACATGTTTTATTTAAAGTTTCTACTTTGTTGTTTGCCTGTACGTGTGTTCTGCGGTGTTACCTATAAACATAATGACATGCTAACACCTCATTTGTTACCTGATAGCCATTTATGTCACATTAACCCGTACCGAAGACCGGAGAAGCATTTTACGCATGTTCCACTCTTTTTGAACGTCATCTGTCGTACGCACCTCGGAACCAGTACATGAAATATGTAGTGCATGGTTAAAATAAGCACAAACGAAAGTTAACGTGACGAGGTCGTACTATTAATGAACGGCTTGTCAGCTGTACATAATACATAGTCATAAGTTAACGTCGGAGACGGATTGGCCGTTTAACTTGCTTACCTAAACGAGCAAATCTGCGCTAGGTTAGGAACACGTCCCCAGCTCCTACTGCACTACGTTTACCATATGAAAGTAGGTCGTATCAATAACAAGGCTCTCCTGCCATGCACAAATACTATTCGCATTCCATGAAAGCAGTCTTGGGTTTGAGGACCATGGAGAAACGAATTTCTGTGGACTCCAGATCACAGATGAGGCACCTAAAAGTGTCCCTCTGGCTTGCAGTACAATTTGAGTCAGATTCACGTGGGTTTTAAACAGTAGTTTACAAACGAAAGCAGTTTCGATGGTGCCCGGAGCTGTTCACTCTGGATAGTTCCCAGACTACACAGTACGATTCCCGAGCCTGCAGTACTTAAGACTCCATGTTCGTACAGCGAAATCGGTGCTCCATTATGATCATCCTGGAGAGCTGTTAACCTTAGGGAGGATGACGACGCAATTTTCGTCTACCGAATCGACTGATGAACAACCTCAAGAAAACCGAAACGGTTACCTGAAGTCCAGACGAGATAGCGTTAATTCGAAGTCGTTTGAAGGAAATTTGATGACTTCCGGTTAGTCGGATTACTTTTAATCCACAGTGCGGAATGGGCAAGTGCAAACTGGGAAGACGACTAGTTAGCAGATGATCCATGACTGAATCTGAATGTAAAACGGTATATCTAAATACAATTAAGTCTTCTGTGCTCGACAACTGTAATTGCTGACTATTTAAAAAGGGAATAAATGAAGGTGCTGTTGTTATATTTTTTTAGAAACCTAGCAGAACAGAATAAGTATACTTACCTGGATCGAACTCAACGTGCTTTTCGTACAAATAGATGGTGATCACATAACCAAGAACAGCGTCGCCCAGAAACTCCAGCCTAAAAACGAGAGTTCAGTTGGTAGTTAACAGTTTTGGGTGAGAAATGTACAGCTCAGCGGAAGACCTATTAAGTGCGTCGTACAGGAACTGATGTTGCCTCATTATAGCCATAGGGTGACAAGAGCGACAATGTGTGTCTCAAGTATATGTCACGTATCAGTTTATTATTGATGTTGATGGGTGCATAAATTGCGTGGAGTTCAGTGAAATCTGCATTATTTATTTTATTTCTATGCACACGATATTGTGAGTTTGTCGTAGTCGGTTTGCTACTGACAATATCATAGTAGTATAAAAAGCAAGTAATTTTTAACGCATGTCCAGAAGCGAGCTAGCAACCATACACGGGTGATACAATGGTCCTACCTATCACATCACTTCCACTGTATTTCGATTTCCTTTGTTCATGCACCCCGCTCCTCAGTCTGAGCTTTCAATGTGACTTCTGGTCTAACAGTTATCGATTACTTCAGAAAATAGGCCAACCACTGATGAACTTTCAGAAAGATTTGTATGCGGACGTCCTGAAATTCCTGATGGGATTCCTCTGCACCTACCACATGAATCTCAATAAAGGCGTCAGTGTTGGTTGCGGTTGCGCTTTTCGGGATCGGACCACAGCGTTACACTAAACATGTGGTAGAATTCCAACTCTATAACCTTGCTGGCTAGTCAAATCCACCACTGATCAAGTTGTCTCAGGTCATTAACAGCTCGTTCAACTAAAGACCACACATAAAATGAAATCCGCCAGCTGCACAAACGGGTCGGTGGATGGATGGTTCAGGGGTTTCAATCACGAAGAAGGCATTGCCATGGTTGAGCTTTATGGTAGTAGACCGAACCTGTGCAACTTTGGTTTTGGAAGTCAAGACAAGTAAGAGTAGTCATCAGTACATTGCTTTCACTGACATCAAATTACACAGGTGGAGTAATTTAAGATTAAAGTGGAAAAAGGAAGAAATTGTCAGCTATACATGGCATTTTGTGGCTTTTTTAACTACTACCCAGATTTCCTAGAATTAGCAAGGGAAAACGGTTAAAAACCTCCCACTGCTCAACATTGCTTTCGAAATGAGTAGAATTATTGTATCCACATTGATGGATTATTCTCTGTCCACCTTTTTGAATATCAAGGAAGTTGTGCAGCTCAAGGGAGTATAAAATAATGCACGCTCAAATGTTCAGACTGAAATGTCTTCTACTGGAGAGTGATCGCCTCAGTGGAGGGAAGAGTAATTGCAACGATACAAACTCGGTAGGATATGGCCGTGGACCTAAAAATGAGAGCCTAGGTAGTGCTGTCTCATCTAATGAACAAAAAGCGAAACACCAACCGACAAATCCAGTGAATAGTTGTTTTTCGAACAATGCCCTATGCCATTTCGCACTGCGTGGAACACCAAATGACCCGGAAAAGGGTGCTCGGACAGCATAGTAAGCAGCAAAACAGAAAAAGTGAATTTATATTCCTAGCGAGAAACTGCCGAGGATTTGCTGTTGGCCGATCCACTTAATCTGCCTATGGCTCTCACCTTGAGGCTAGATACTTTATTTCCGTGTCGGTTGGAATTAGCTCTGTGAATTTTCTCCCAAAGAAGTCCTGGTCTTTTAAGCCCGTTAGTGAGAGTGATTAGTCCGGCAACAGCGAATCTTCAAACACAAACAAGAACAAAAGTGTATGGTTGGTCGACAAGAAGTTGGGGCAATCTAAATGAAACCCTCGTTCCTTGGAAAACTTCACATACTTCACCCTAAACTAGCTAATGGTTCAGCTGATTTACCGATCTAAACAAATTATAGGCGCACGCTAACCACCACTGATGCTCTCAAAACAGCATGGAGTATTTCAAGAAAACGGACAGGTGTAAGACTCTTACGTTTTCGCACTACTAACTGATGATGCAGCCGAACTGATGCCGTTTAGTGAGTGAACAGAGCCCAAACTGGCCTATTTATCCGGAGTGAGGAGAGCAAGAACTGGAGTGATTACTGATGAGACTAATGCAACGTACCGAGCCACCAGATACCCCAACATATTCGAAAGAAAATAGCCTAACCATCTATTGGGATATCCTAACCCAACAACAACTGCCGTTCAGCCATTTTAATGCATAATCTTTCTGTTACTTATTTGGTTGCGTTTTTGATCATTTAGGAGATGAGCACCACCAATCAGACTAGATGAGCGGCTTCGCGGATTTGGATTGAAAGACCAACTGAATGTAACTGAAATTGTCCAAGCAGCCGCTGATCGCTTCGAGGTATCTGCGGCACCTGTAAAAGAAAGCGTTTTACCGCCCTCTCCTGACATTCGTAATATGCGCTTCTGTTCATTTTATTTTCCGTTGGAGCATCCTACTAAGTCGGAGCATGGTCACTCTATACCTGTTCGCGTTCTGTCGCCATCCTGAGTACCGAAGATCTCCTGGTTGCAGCCAAAGAATATTTATTGTCTCAGAAGAGCTTGATAAACAATCGGTAGTTTTTATTTGGGCAACGTTCCGCTCTTGACACAAAAGCTTCATCAGGCCAAGTGAGCAAGTCACCAAATTGGCCAGGTTATAAGGCAGACGGGGAACCAATCAGTAAGTCAATCCTCTTCGGATTTTCACACTAGATCCGTGATGAGTGTCAATTAATGGCTCTTATCGGTTAGTGAAGTTGTCAAAATCTTGCTCTGGTGGATTAGGGGGGGGGG